AAAACTTTTAATTTAAATAAAATTAATATAAATAAAGACAAAACCAAAGAAATTCAAATAACACAAATTAAAGAAAATTAATTTATTAAAGTTAAACTAAATTAAATTAAATGCAATAAAGTAGAGTAAAATAAATTGAATTATAGGAAACCAAAGAAATTAAAGTAAAACAAAATAAATTAAAATTAAACAAAAGAAATAAAATAAAGTAAATTAAAATAGTATACAATCAAATAAAATAATAAAATTTAATTCAAAGGAAAAAACAAAGTAATAAATTAAGAAAAATTAAGAAAAGCAACATAAATTAAAACAAAACAAAATAAAATAAAATAAATAGTAATATTATTACTAAATTAAATTAAATGAAATGAATTTATATAAAATAAAATAAAATAAAGTAAAAAAATAAAGAATAAATAAAATAAAATTAAAATAAATTAAATAAAAGCAAATAAAATTGATTAAATGCAATGAAATAAAACTAAGTGAAGTAAATAAAAATTTAGTTAAAAGAAACCAAATAAAGTTCACATAACTTTAAATTAATAAAATTAATATAAATAAAACCAAATAAATTAAAATCAAAAGAAATAGCATTAAATAAAATCAAAGAAAGTAAAATAAAACAAAATAGAAAAATTTAATTAATTCAAGTAAAACTAAATTAAACTAAGTATAATACAATAAAATAAAATAAAACAAAATAATATTATAAAAAAGAATTAAGCAAATGTAAATAATATAGAATTAAATTAATTAAATAAAATAGAATAAAAAGCAAAATTAATAATTAAAAATAAAAAATAATTAAACTAAATTTAAAAATAAGTAAAATTTAAAAAAAAATCAAAAAAAAATTTAAAATATAATATATATATAATTGGTTTTGCGTCTTGATGTTTTTCCAACAAATACAATATGATAAAATAAAATAAAGCACCATTTTGGTTTTAGGCAGAAAATTCTAGTCACAAACTAGTACTGTCGGATGCAGTACATTCATATTTCACTCACACACACTCGTAAGTATATTTGTTGCATTTTGTCGCAAATCGCAGATTTCAGATATGGCAATTGTCACACTTTGAGGTCTTTCAACTCAAACACTTGTAGATATGTAGATACATGTATGTGCGTTATGCATGTCAATTTGTAATTGTTCTAACATTGTACTCATCGTATGTAATCACTTCATCACTTTTATGCAAAAGTATGTGAATTTGGAAAAAAAAATCCCCCTTGTAGCAGCCGAGAGGCATGCAAGGGAGATTATGACGATAATGGAGTTGTAGAAAAATTACAAATTTCAAAGAAAAAAGTCAACATGCCATTGTTTTCTTCAACTTGCCTTTGATAGACTTGTACTGCAAGAGTGGGTGAATGCATTCTGCAAATACATACATACACACAAATATGCATATCTACTTATGGAATTTATGCTTCTTTTATGTTCCTACAAAAGTGCACAGCTATATTTGTGTATGTGAACTTCTACTTCAAACTTTTCACAATTATAACAATGCAATTCTCATGTTACAACATGGCATAGCATATAGCATAACACAAACGACAGCCGTGACTTGTTCGGCAGTTAAACACTTGTCACACTGTCGTCATTTCCATTTTAGAAGGACACTTGGGCGGTCTCAGAGACTACTAACTTAACGGCAGCCACCGGTAAGCGCGGTTGTGGTAAATTTTCTTTGGCTGGAGACATTGAGTCTAACCGAATGCCGCTTTCAGCTTATGGACAAGCCCAAGTGCACTTGTGTGTTTATAAATATATATATATATATATATATATATATATACGTATGAATGAATAAACTTATATATATTTTTTTTTTAATAACAAAGTGTCATACGTGGTTAATACCTAATTTTCCATTAGCTTGCGTGTATGGGCTTCATTCATAAATTCAAACATATTTACACATGTTTTATTCCATTCTCCTCATCATTTTTTATGTTGGCATTTTGCAGTACACCGTCTGGTATTTATGACATTCACCATTCCTTTGTATTTGGCACTGAAAAATGGGAGTTGGCTCGTAATGGCGTAGACAAAACAGCACAAATATCCCATTTCCATTATTAATTCTTAGTATTCATGTACCGTTAAAGTGTTTGTGTATGCGCATGAGGGAATTTGCAAATATCTGCATGAGAACTTATATGTATAGGGTATAAATTACAGTTAAATGGGTGAGGTATACTTTATAAACAACATAAATAAGAAGTTAGAAGAGAGTCGCTAACAAAACAAGTGAAAAAAATGTGTATAAGGAATATGAAGTAAGTTAGAATTTTAAAAATATTTATGCCTGGTTTTAAAACATATATGTATCCTTTTAATACCAAATCGTCATTGCAATATATATGGCAAAAGTCTGGTACTGAAAAAAGATAAAATAATCTACTGTAGTGGAAATCCAACGCAGAATCACTCTTGCTAACAGGTGCTACTTTGGACTGAGTGGGCAATTGAAAAATAAAGTCTTTTCCCGGCGAACGAAAACCAAACTCTACAAGTCGCTCATCATACCGGTGCTACTATATGACACAGAAGCGTGGACGATATCAATATCTGATGAGTCGGCTCTAGGAGGCTTCGAGAGAAAAGTATTTCAAACGATTTATCGTCCTTTACGCATTGGCAACGGCAAATACCGTAGACGGTGGAACGATCAGCTGTATGAGCTACCCTCTGTGGAAACAGGGGAAGAGGAATACCTCCATTTCGTTGGAAGGATCAGGTAGAGAGTGACTTGGCTTCACAAGGTAGTTCCAACTGGCGCCAGGGAGCGAAAAGGAGGAAGGGCGCGCTAAGATTAATAAGTAATTCCATTAGCATTATTATAGCTCCAAACTTTGTAAAATAAAAAAGGTGCTCCACGGTTTTATGCATTTCTTTCCGACTATGAAAGTCTGCTTTTCCTTCACCCTGCATAAAAACACAATTGTCACTAAGTAACAAAATCACAACGTAATCTACAAGTCACTAACCGACCCCTAACCTGAGGAAGGGACAAAGAAAGACAAAACTGAAGCCTCCTGATAGCGCCTGCACCGCATTTGTATAGCGAGACATCCATTCTTCCAGTCAAGGAGCGTATTGTTATGCTGTGGAAGCAAAATCTGATAGCATACCACCGGTAAGGAGCATTTTTGTAGACTCCTATTGGGAGCTGAACCGCCTCAAATGCACATTAGAAGCAAAGTATTATATTGCAAAAGCCGCTGAACGCGGCGAGTTACAGGTTTATCTTAAACGAAAATCACGGAAAGTATGTCAAAACTTTTATTGACCCACTTTCTGCGTCACCATAATCCCAACATCACCCATGGCAAACGAAAACCACAATATACCTCTTGAGTCCTCAGTAAAACTAGCACGCTTAAGTTCTGGAAGCTGAAGTATACTCAATTTCTACTTATCCAGTCTCCGCGCTCCAATGAGCTCTCGCGACGCCAACCGCCTGTTTTCAAATCAATACAGTTCACAATCCTCTCCCGCTGGTCCGAGCTCGGCGAAACAACTCATTGACTTTTAAGATGCAAAAGGCTTCATAAGATTATATGAGAGACTACAGTGAATAATATGAAAGTTGCCCTGCGGGTTAGGGGCTAACAAATGTACCCATGCTAAGGCATTCCTGTCGAAAGAGGCGACTAAAATGCAATAGTTTCCGCGACAGTACCGGAACGATTTTATCCGGCCAAGGACTGTCACACCCAAAATATTCCCTGAACTGGTTTTCGGTATACAGATGCCGGTTACAACAATAACAACAAAATTACTTATTGAGCAATCCCACCTTCAACAATGAACTGCATATTCCACCACTGAAAATTAGTTATCACATCGAGACCGGTAACCATCAAGGTCGATGGCATATATGTATATACTATAAATGTGCATACATCTCGTACTAAAGAGAGAGTTGTTTATGTAAAAACTAACATCGACTACTCAAAAGGAAGTTAGACTATTTACGCTGTACGCTGAGGTTAAGAATAACATCATTTGTGATATGCGTCTAAATATTTTTCCAACAAATGAACGTAATAAATAATTTTTACTTTTTTTTCGGGTCAAGCTTCGCATGGTAGCACACCACATTTATCACGGTAAAGGATTACGATTTCAAGGCATGGCTGTCGTCAAAGTGGAGTCATTGTTTCTGAAAAATCCATATTTTTATGCCGCTGGTGATTGGCGAATGTGTAATATTCTCCAATAAAACTCAGTTCTAAGGTTACAACAGCAACGTAACGCAATTTTTGTAAATTTTTATGAAAATATCAAAAAAGACACTACAAATTAAGAAAGGTCATCAAAATCTAGCCTAAAATTCCCAGTTTAATTTATTTAAAGTAAAAAATTAATCAAAGAATGACATGAATTTTGTTTATAAATAAATGAATTTTAACAACAAAAGAATTACTGCAATCATCACGGAATAACAAATAACAAAATTATAAACACAAAACAAAAAATTTTACCGGCTATCAGCTATTTCTAGAATTCTGATAACTTCAAACAGCTATCTATTCAAATAACAGCTACAAACATATATACATTTGCGACTACCTGATAAGAACTAAAAATTAAGTTGGCAAAAATACTTTGCAAATTTAGTCATAAAGTATGTATTTATCATCTCCATTGCCTATCCACCGTATACTCGTATATATATTTAATCTGAAAATACTATTCAATTGACTGATAAAAGTTTGTGCAAGTTGTTTTCTGTTTGGCTTTGTTACGAGATTAAAGAAAAATCGATATATGTCAGCTTATTCAATAACCACTGTTTGCCTTTAGCTTAAACGAATAAATATGTATGTACATATGTACATGTTTATTTGAGAATACATATTCCGCTCGATATGCTTTTTTACCATTTACCTTTTGTGCCTCGAATTCACTTCTTTTCTTTTTCTACACATTTCATTCCTTCTTTCAAAATATATTTATTTACATATTCCCTTACCTTTCTGTTCAGGTTGCGCCTGTTTAACATTCACTGCTGACGCCACCGATGCTGCTGTTACTGCTGCTGCTACTGCCGGTACAGCTGCTGTTATTGGTAATCCTGCTACAGCGGCCGATGGCTGCTGCTGCTGCTGCTGCTGTTGTTGATACAGTTGCTCCTGTTGATGCTGTTGCTCCTTCATTAACAGCGAGTGTGAGTCATTGCTATTTATTGTTGTTGTTTTTGTTGTCATCTCAATCAACTGTGCCGGTATTCCTGCTGCCACAGCTGTGTATGGTTCTGCTGTTGTGGCAGCAGTTGCGGCGGCCTCTGCTACAGCCGCTGTACCATTGCTGACAACCGCAGCTTCCAGTGCCACAGAGGAGCTTTTCTCCAAAATATCCGCCATATTGTCGGTCACTCCTGTACGCTCGGTACTTGTATGTATTTATTTTGTTTTCACCGGATGACTGGCGTACGTATGAATGTGTGTGCGTGTGATGCGTGTGTGTTCTACTTCCGTTGTTAGAGACTTTTTAGGGTTGTGCGGTGGGTTGGATTGCGTTAGGCAAGTATTATATGTTGGAGTGTGGTGAAATGCCGAGATACTTGAATGAGTGTAACGGAAAGCAAAGGAATGCGTTGCACTGTGAACTATATAGATTGTCTTGGGTGTTTGTACGTACATATGTATGTATGTAACGTATGTTACTGTCTTTCTAACAGTAGCAGTACAGCAAGCTTTCCAACCGCCTGCGTCTCGTTAACGCTCTCTCTCTCTACGCGCTGTCTTCGTGAATTGTGTGTGTATCTTTTGCTTGTTGAAAATTTTTCAATACACAATTTCTTTTTTGTTTAATATTAATTTATGTTTGAACACTTTTCTACGATTTAAACTGTCACACTTTAACTTAAAAGTGCACTTTTCTTATGTAATTCTTTATTTGTGGTTTGGAAAGATATATACTACATGCATTTATTTAAATACCCACATAAACATGCACATAAGTATGTATATATATATGTGTGTGTATAAAATGAACCTGTAATGAAAACAATAAATTTTAAACACAATATTTCTTTGCTGCGACGCGCTTCACCACCTTCGCACCACCGGAAATTAAATTAACGGTGAGGGCCACTCGCGGCTTGTCGTTGTTTTGCGTTTTGGTATACCAACGGTGTTGGTCTTTTTCAACGTCGTTCTGGAATGGTCTCTTCTCAATTTCTACAAAATTACAATTTTTGTCACACAAAATCACTTTTCTACACATCTAAATATCTACACATGTTAATATGTATGTAAATATATATGCATGAAAAAATATACTAAATTTTTTTCACACTTTTTGATTTGCTTTTAGCCGTACTGCGCACTGCGCTTAGTGTATAATAACAATTTTGAAATTCAAATTCACACACAACCAGATTTAATTTGCATATGAAAAAGACAAAATTTAATTGAATATGCACAAACACTATACAAATTAGAGAATATAAAAAAATTGTCCGTATGAAATAGAAAAATAGAAGAGAAAAAAACACAATCACACACCTTAGCGTTGTGTGTCGCACCGTAAATATAACTGTTGTTACACCGAGGATGAATCTATTTGGTCTGTTATCTCGTCTCGAACTGATTGCGCGCTGCAAAGAAGAATTTATAATTAACGTTTCGAATGCGTACAGCTCGGCAGCGCAAGCAGAAAATCGCACGGAGAGCGCCAACACAACAGCACGACCGGACAGACAGACTTGGTGCAGAAGCTATTGCCATTGAATGAGCGTATTTGCACTTGGTTGTGGCTTAAGCATTTGCGTTAAGCTTTTTAGTACAAAAAACCGGTGGTGTTAGCTCAATGTTGTGCTGTTGCTGTTGTGGGTGTAAGCTGTAGCTGTAAGCGGCTTCGGCGACATCTGTAGTGGATAATTTGGATTCATCAAAAAATACTACCAAAGCAATTTTTATGCAGTTTTCATGCGAGAAACGCTGAGGCGCTTTTTGAACGATATATGTATTGTGCTGAGAGATTTTGAAAAAATGTGAAAATTGAACAAGTTGGAAATAACAAAATTGCCATTTACGATTGCTCAAATCATCTTGAACTTTGTTAATATTTTCTCAAAGAATAGTAACAAAACTTCTAAGGGGTTTTCAAAAGTTAGCCTTAATTCTCTCCCTCTGGTTTCTTAAAGTTCTCATGTTCTGGCGTAAATTGTTTACAAACCAAGCGAAAAATGGATAAAAAAAACTAAAGACCTACACATATGTATGTATGTGGGGAATAGAATACTCAATACACTGTCCTTCTCGCCCACATTCTGGAAACGTGACTAATCCTTGTGCAAGGTGTGGTAGTCAACCCGTGTACACCCATGGTCATGGCTAAATTAAAGATCGCTTCAATAGAGTGTCTCCGTTATGCTCACCAGAGATGTAGCTGTGAGAGGAGAATGTCTCGGAGAAGAGAACTCACTTTTCATGACAACTATTAACGATTTAAAACGGGCTACTTAAATCGCATACAAACTAATGTCTGAACCCTCAATGGGGAAGGTACCGCTGCATAACTGGTTGACGACCTCGTAAGCCTAAGAGCTGTTATAATTCTCTGTCTAAAAATTGCAATAGACGGAACATGGTCAGTTCTTGTAACATGTACTACAGTGGCCTTATAAAGGATCGCGATTTGGTGTCGGTGGTAGAGATCCTTAACTGGTGAGTGCTGTCATGCAGTGAGTGAACGTCTAGTAGTAAGCCGTATTGCAGATAAGACAAAATTGTGCTCGACGACTTAAACCGCTAAGGAGATATGTTCGTCAAGCTCCTCAAATGGGCGGAGCCTGGCCAACTTTGCCGTGGTCCGAAATATGGTTGTATGTAGTACCAGATTCCAGCACTATAATCGAAAAATTTAATTGTCTATATTGTAATAGATGATGTGATGACAGATGTGCTCCGGGGATTCAACATCGACCCAGAACGCACCAAAAACTCCAAACCAAACCACTCCTGCCCTCTGAGAGTAATCCACAGCTCGCGGTGTAAGGGAGCTGAAGGGCGTTACTTAAAGTTTAAAGAGCTGGTGCGGCACTGAGGAGGTAAGAGATTATATGCCTACCTCCATGCGACCGAGCGTGAGAAGGTTATTGTGATTTAAAGACAGAAAGAAGAGAGAGATTTAAATGCGTGATAATGAATAGAGTGAAAAGCTTGCACTCCTGTTAGCTATTCGTAATTTTTTAAAATCTTAAAAGCACGTAGGTGACATAGCGATTTCAATGTAGTTTGGACAATATTGAAAAGGAATCACCTGCAGATGGCGAGCATGAACTCCCAATCCATAATAACGTTTCTTTACATAAATAAGATAAAGTTCAAACAGTAATTGCCTGGCAGAGAAAGTACGAAGCCGCAAAAGCCGATCGCTTACAAGCTGAGCTACATGAGTGAGCTCACTTGTGAATCCTACTCAAAAGCCGGATTAATAATTATAATGAAATCATTTAATAACTAGTACGAAATCCCTTTTAGTCAATAACTAAGCTGATATCCATCGGCCGTGGTAGCCGAGTGGTTGGCATTGCGTACTGTTATTAGGAACGTCATGGTTCAAATCCTGGTACGACCAACATTCAAAAAGTAGTAGAAAATTAAGCTAAATTTTCTAATTGCGGTCGCCCCTCGGCGGGGAATGTCAACCCCTCCGAGTGTATTTCTGACATGACAAGGCTCCATAATCCAACGGCCGTTCGGAGGCGGCTTAGTATACACTGTAGGTCCCTCCTTTTGTTGGGCAATTCATCAAGTAATGCAAAACCACAAATTGGAGGAGAAGCTCGGCCGAAAATAGCTTCTGCGGTTACAAAGCGCAAATATAATATATATAGGTATATAAATTGATATCGGCTCTCTTAGTTGTTTCCTTCATTTCTTCCGTTGTTGTTAAATATTATATAATATATTTATGTTATCCGTTTCCAAGTGATTTTTTATTATAATAACAAATACATTCATTTCATAAGCCCTGTCGGTACGTATCTGCTGTTTATACGTAGTGCCTTACGACATTTTTGTTTTGTTTTTGTGTTAAATTAATATATATTATAAACTATATATTAAAGTTTTCTTCGATCTTTTTTCATGTAATTAAAATTAAATAAATGAACAACAAATTATTTTATAATTTTTTAGTTTCTTTTTTTTTTTTTTTGGTTTAACGTTTTCTTTTTATATACATAATTTAAAAATTGTTTTAAGTTCTTCTTCATTTTGTTTTGAGTTTTGGTTTCTGTATTTTCAATATATATTTTTTTTTTTGTTTCTTCTTCAAAAATAACTGCACTACTTTGTGTAATACATTTGAAAATTATTTATGAGCAGAGAAAATTAAAAATTATAATAAATTAATATACGAGAGAGAGAGATGAATAAAACATCTATGGAGAATGGTTGACGTCGCTACAAATCGGTTGGTATTTTTATAGCATATCTGGTCTGTCGCACATCTTGGCAAGAAATGCTGTTTCGGAGAGAGAGAGAGGGAGAGAGAAATAGAGAGGAGATAAATAAAAGATTAATTAATATACAGTTTATTGAATATAGAATGATTATAAAAAATAAAATAAATAATAAATAATAAAATAAATAAAAACTAATTTGACAAATAAACAAAATTTAGTGCTATAACTGAATTATCATTAACAAATCGCCTACAAACATTTTGTGCTGACAAACGTTGTAAACAAAAAGTGCGAATTGAGTTTAACAAATAGGGATACGTAAAATATTTTGTTGTTGATAGTTTCGTGTATACATTTCGGGTTTTCAAAAGTAGACGACTGCATTTTGACAACTGTCAAATTTAACTTTCAAACCAAACATGTTTTGTTTCAGTTAAACTCAGGTATTTATGAAAACAGATCGCTTAATAACAGCGCACCGCGTTAAAATTGTTAAGACCTACAACAAAGAATTAAATTAAAAACTTTTCGAACAAAACTTTTTTAAGCGAAAATGCACATTCACATGGAGGTATTGACAGGCAATTGTCCAGCTTACTGCAAGCTCTTCGCAACTAAATCAGAGAACTTCTACACCCCCGAAATTATGAAGCTGCCCGAAAAATGGCAAAAAGTCTTAGATAATAATGGTTAATATGTACTTCATTAAAATTGAATTTCATTTAAGAAAAATTTTATACAAAAAATATACAATAGAAAGCGTGGAGACCTTTTTATTCATCGATATTGACAAGCCGCTGAGCGATTTTTCTGTTGGAAGTTGTAGACGTATTTTTTTCTTACGAAATCATAAACATAATTATGATTACGACATTTAATTATGATTTTTTTTTTAATGAAATGCTTATTCATATCCTTGAAATTAATATTTTTTGGATATACAAAATAATTTCATTGCTTGATAATCTAAAATTTAGCCAAAATCTGGTTGTTTCCAAGTTTACGAAATCAATGAGGAATTCAATGTAAATATCTAGAGTGACTTAAGCTGGTCTAGAGCGCATAAAAATGGGCATAATTTATGAATTTATTTTGACTTGACAAAGGAATCAATCCAAAATCTGTGAAATAAGTTTATTAATTTAGGTTTTATCGTACAAATACAAAATTTTTAGTGTGATTTGATTTTGAAATGGCCGCTGTCCAGCAATTCTCCGAAGACGCATTTTTTCTAATGAGTCCATGGCCGCAGACGCAACCTTCTTAATTTTTGTCCTCGGTCAAAAAAAATTTTTTTTGTTTCTACAATATATAACAACAACAAGAGACGTAAAGGATTTTTTCGACATTTTGTTTATTTTTCACGAAATGCACGCACGTTTGAACAAAATGCTACAATTTTCACTATAAAAACGATCTAAAATTCTTGATTAAAAACAAACCATGTAATATAAAAAAAATTCTACGTACGTCTTCGGAGAACGGTATTTCGAATGTACTGTCAAAATTTCGTAAGAAGCGGTGAAGATTTGTTCGAGTTATGTCTTCGACCAGTTTAAAATAAGTGATTTCGAGAAAAACGCGTTTAAAGTTGCAGGTCGCTAGGGACATGCCGTCGAATGAAAAATTTGGGCATTTAGACATTTTTGCCGGCATCCATCTTTTAGTATGTTATATCTAAGACCCTAAGGTACGTTTTAAGACAAAAATTTTTTTTCGATTTTTTCAAAATTCTAGCGGCCTCCTTAAAAAATATTAAAATATCGGTTTTATGGAATCTTCAAAGAAATGAATTATGTAAAATTCATTTACCGATTTCTTTTGTTGAATTCTCAGAACTTTTTATAATCTACTGATTTTAACTTTAAATATGAAGCCTCCTTATCCGGTAATCGTAGTATTTTTGTTTGTTTTTCGTGTTTGATTTTTTTTTTTTTTTGAATTCTTTTGTAATTCTTAGTTATGCAACAAGAACAAGAAAACATATAAAAAGTTTTTTAAAATATTTTTTTTTTTTCATTCACCAAATTTTTATAAACTTACACCCTGGTTTGTTCAGCGTCAAAAAAAAACGTTTTGACCCAATTCAGACATCTAAATAAAAAATCCCTTACCTATCAACATATGTGCACCCATACATATATGTAAATATAGTGAGTAAAATCGCTTATTTCTTCTTACTTACCGCTTAGTCGAAGACAACTGGATCGCTCATCATTCTCTGGATGAACTCTGCTCGTTGAACACACATACAAATTATATATAGAGGATTTGGTGATGGTTTTGTTGTGCATATTGTTGTTGGTTGTTGTTGCAAGCAAACATACACATAAATTCACGCAAGAATTGTGCAATTGTATGTACAAACATACACATATGCATATATGTATTTTCATATGCATGAGTGGGTGGTGGTCGTACAGGTATTTGTGCGCGTGTGTTTGTAGAATAACACAAAGTGAAAGTGCGTCATACACATACGTACATATACAAATACGTATGGGGAAGTGATGTGTGTGTGTTTGGATGTTGTGCAATTTTAATTTTTTTTTTTTTTGATATTTTTTCATTTATTTTCCACAGTGCGTTGGGATTTATTTTTGGAACATTCATTTGGTTGGCACATAAAAACGGTGAGGTACATATAAGTCGACATAGAATGAGAGTATATATGGAAAACAAATATTCAATTTAATACAAAACAAAGAAAATCACATACATATGCATATATAAAATATATATTTATTGTAGATAATTTAAATATTATGATGAAGGAGAATGTGTGCAGATATAAAACACAAAAAATGTGTGGTGATGAGCAACAATTGTGCTTTAAGGTGATTTTAAAAATAAACATTGTACATTTTTGTACATAAAAATTTCTAAATTTTTGTATATTTTTTCGCTTTTACTTACGAGAGTATGGAATCATGCCATCATCATCCTCGGGGTCCATGCAGTCGGCGAAGAGAGACTCAACTTGCTCATCATCCAATTGTTCACCTGAGGGGATAATAGATATTGTTATGTCAATACAGCTTTTTATTTAGAAATAATTTTTTTTCGTTAACTTTAATATTCAAAAAGTTAGGGATAGGAAAGTTTTTCGAAAAATTTTTAAAAATATTTTTTTAAATTTTTTCTCATTTATTTTTTTTTTTTTTGCTATATTTAAAAAAGAAGTAGCTCAACCTTTGTTCATTTTTAATATGAGTTCTTTATACAACTAAAATCTATGAAAAGAACTTACCAAGCGACAGCAGGGCGTGTTGCAATTCAGCCAACAACATGGTACCGTTCTCGGCTTTGTCGTACAATTTCAAACATTCAATGAAATCTTCGTAGCAACCTTGATCCTTATCCTTCTTCACTTGAGAGTAGATTGGGAGGAATTCTTCGAAGGTGATTTTCTTCTCATTACGCTTCTTGGTGCCGCCCATTTTCTCGATCACCGCCAAGGTTGGGTTCAAGTTGAGGGCACGGAGAGCATCACCTAGGTCGACGGCATCGATGCCAACACCGGGCGAGCCCATAATTTCGAAAATGAATTCAACATCTGTTGGGATAAGGTTTGGCGCGACATTAGAGATTTATATTTTAGCAGTTTTTTTCATGTAAAGGAGTACTTGAAAATAGCTGGAGAAACGCTCTTGATTTTTCAATTTATTAGGTGAACTTTTAAATAAATAAATATTTTTATTTAATTTAATTAATGTCAAGTTATTTTAATTCATTTTATATGACTTAATTTTGAATTTTATTTTATTATATTTTGTTTATTCAATCTTTTTTTTATTATTGTATTATATATTTTTATTTATTATTATATTTCAGTTTTTCTTGTCATATTTTTTATTTAATTTTAATTAAATTTAATTTTTTACTTATTTTTTATTTTTTTTAATTTCTTTTCTAATTCTTTTTTTTCCTTATCTTGTTGTTCTGTTTAAAAATTTTAATTTTAATTTCTTTTATTTCATTCTACGTTATTTTATTTTATAACGACGTTATTTTCCTTTATTTCATATAAATATATTAATTTTTATGTTATTTTTATTTTATTATATTTTAATTAAATTAATTTTATTTTCATTTTCTTTATATTATTATATTTTTGTTTTTTTATTTAATTTAATTTTTTTTAATTTATATTTATTTTAGTTTTTTTAGTTTCTTTTATTTTTCTTTATATTATTAACTTTTTTATTTTATTTTCATGCATTTTATTTTATTTTATTTTATTTTATTTTATTTTAATTTATTTTATTTTATTTTATTTTATTTTATTTTATTTTATTTTATTTTATTTTATTTTATTTTATTTTATTTTATTTTATTTTATTTTATATTATTTTATTTTATTTTATTTTATTTTATTTTTTTTTATTTTTTTTATTTTATTATTATTATTATTATTATTGTTGAATGATATTAACACAAGCTACTAGGGCTATCGGATGTATTTGCCAACCTTTTATTTAATATTAATTTATTTTATTTTATTTTATATTGTTTTATTTTATTTGGTTTAATTTTTTTTTTTTGTTTAAACAATTTCTTAATACCAAATTTTAAGCTCAGAAATGCAGTTTATATAATATTTTTACTTTATCTGAGTTTTGTATATTTCAAAGCGTCCTTGCCCTACTTCCCCCAAAATACCAGTAATCTATCTCAGTATATTTCCCCAACCCTCGTCATGTTATTTATTATCTTTACATCATCTTTCAAACGAATCATCGAACTTGCTATTCAATTTCAAGTACAAATAGAAAGTATTTATGACACATGCCATATTTGTATTTCCCCCACTACTTATGGGCCTTCAGCGCGTAAATAGTATATCTACATACATATAATGTATTTTGACAATCCGTAGCTTGAGGAATTTTCTCTCGGCGTACTCGTTGGGTAGAAATCTGACACCCGATTACTCGAATAAGTGGGCGCACGAATAAAAACGAGTCAGCATATTGTACACGCATACAATTCATTCTTCGAAAACCGTTTTTGTTTTTGGTATCGTGAAAATGTTTATAATTAAGTATGAATGTGTAAGTTAGAACAAAAACTTGATTAAGAAAAAATAAGAATTTTCCCAAAATTAGAAATGCGTTCGTTCGTTAGTTGCGCTCTCGTGCGGTCATCGTCGTTTATGCCTCACTCATTCAATGGTGCTCTGCTGTGTTTCCGATATAAACGCACGAGCATACCATACAGAGTTTTTATTTTTAATTAACACTTTTTTTATTTTAATTTTTTATCACTTCTTGCGCACTTTTCTTTATAATTAGAAAAGAGATTTTCATTTGAACAAATGTCCTTCAATATCGAATTCTTACTTGTTTTTGTCTGGCATGTATTATTTTATGTATTTTATTTTAGTGTTATTTTTATAACGGTATTCGTATTGCGCAGTTAGTTCCAACACATTCCTTATTAGATTTTTTATATATTTTTGTTTCTTTTTTATCGTTCTTGCTTGTTCTATTCGAAGAACAAATGCTTTCGAAAAAAAGAGATTTCAGTCGATTTGCTTTAAAAATAGCACGCAAACCATTATAAACGCGCTCGCGTCAAAAGCAGTGGCGCCCAAACGTTGTTTCGTTTCCATTCATTTCGCTTTGTTATCATTTCGCCGCACTAATGTTCCCACTGACAGACTTTTTATGGGCGCCTTAGACAGTTATGTAGGCGTTTCGACATTAAGGAAGTTGTGTGGTGGTATGCGTTATGTCTATTACAGTTATGTTAAATTGTTGTGGTCGATACATATACATAAATTCTACGTTTTACAACACACCGTTATCACTGTGTACCGTTACGTAAGATTTTGCTACTCTAACAATTCGTTGGACACTTTTTATAATTTTTTACACACAAAATTTATTTAATTTTTTTCTTATTTATTTTATTTCTTTGCAATTTCAAATTTTTTTTACGCTGATTATTTTTTATATATTTCTTTCATATCCTTTTGAGCGCTTGTGTAATCAGTTTCCAGCAAATTTTGCAGTCCTCTACATTTTTTTGAAATTAATTTATGAAATCTATAACTTACTTTCAATATCGCGTTTTGGTAGGTCGGCCTAGAATTTGTGGAAAATAAATAAAAACAATTTTAGTTTAATTTAAAATGGAAATTTCAATGCTGATTTCATTTGCTATGAAAATTTGAGGTTTTGTAGAAATAGTATTTTTTTGATTTAACTTTTTAATTTTCTTTTTTTTTGTCTACTTTTAGTAAATCCTCAATTGCCCCCAAGCAACTAACCGTCAGCAGCAGTCACTCACCATTTTGTCTGTTGGATGAGAAAAAATCAACTAAACCGTGGATGAGCTCTGTCTCGACTGAACGTTTCTCGTCTACAGCACGCGTGTTAGGTACTTTCCTAACGGTTGCTTGGCTAGCCAAAAAGTTTTCACAATTTTTCCGTAAAATTGAACGAACGAAAACGAACAGCCACCACACGATCATTATGCTTTTGTATGTGTGTATGTTTGAGTGTGTATATGTGTGTTAGAGAAAACTTGCTGGGTTTCGTTTGCTTGATTAGCGAACGATCGGCTGATTTTGAACGTCCTCACATATACTTACATATAAATATAGAAAAACATTCACCAACATACATAAATGCAAAGTGTGAAAAATTTTAGAAATATTTCGAGATGTTGTTGTATGTATGTATGTATTTTTCTACATTTCATATACATAAATAAATGTGTATAAAAAAGTAAATTATGTATGTAGATAAGCAGGACGCATAATATTTTCTGTTACTTAAAATGCATACACATGTACATAGGTACATAGGTATGTGTGCACAGGGAATGAACACAACCATACAAACACATTCATTCAATCGAAATTTCTGTATTTTGCGTTTTTCCCAGTTTTCAGCTCTTGGCAAGGGCGTCAAAGCATACAGGTGATTTACTTGTTGAGCTGACAGCCACAAAACAGCCGACAATCGATAGACGACAGCCCACAGGCAAAGGCAACAAAACAATTTGAAAGCTACAAAATTAACGCTGCCAATACAACACAACTGCGCGCGCCCTCAACGCCAGCAACCAACAAGCAGCATTGCCACATTCAGCTCGTCTCTATTGACCATGTTTTCGGCGGATATTCTCAGTGGTCGTTGCTATTTTTACACATCACATAGTACGCATAGGAAGCTAAGTACGAGTATATGCATTATAAATATGTGTGTATATGTACGTATACACATGTGTATATAAATACAGCAGTAATAATCATCAGGCATCGTATGGCTATAGTGTTGAATATCATTAGATATTTTCCTCGTTATACATATTCATATACCTGCACAATGTTCTCCTGCCATTTTACACATACATACATACAGTTGAATGCTTTAATATTTATATATAAAATACTTTTGCTCAATAAGTGAATATACAACAATTCTCCACATATCGCCCTGTAAATTTATACAATATTTCGTTGGTTGACCCTGATCATTTCTACATTTGCAATATCCACTTTTTTATTGGTATGCTTGTGGTGGCTTCCTAATATTTTTTTAACAATAAATATGTTCACCAGAAAATATTTCACTCTAATTCATATATACACAAATCTATACTTTATTTTATTTCTTTTTATTTTAATTTATTTTATTATAATTTCATATATTTTATTTACGTTTAATTTATTTTATTTATTTTGAAATATTTAAATTTATTTACCTTACTTTATTTAATTTTTTTAATTTTATTTTATTTCATTTTGCAGAAATATTTATCTTATTTTATTTCTTGGTTTTTTTATTATTTTTTTAGTTTTAATAAATTTCATATTATATTATTATAATTTAACTTATTTTATTATCTTTTAATTTATTTTATTTAATTTGTGTTATATAAATTTATTTAACTTAATTTAATTTTATTTTATTTCATATCATTTTTTTATTTAGTTTTATTTTCTTTCGTCTTAGTTTACTTTATTTTATTTTAATTTATTTTGGGTCATTTCAATATATTTGATTTTATTTTCTTCATTTTGTTTAAATTGTTTATATTTTAATTTATTGTATATTATTTTATTACAAATTAAATTCTTTTAATTTTTTTATTTTTATTGAGATATTAAAATTTATTTAAATTACTTTAATTTCATTTGAATAAATATTTTGTTTTATTTTATTTCGTTTCATTTTGCAGAAATATTTATTTCATTTTATTTTTTTATATAATTTTTTTTTTTAATTTATTTAAATTTTTTTATTTTATTTTTTTCTTATTTAATTTATTTTATTTATTTTTTTATTTAATTTAATTTAACTTAATTAATTTTCACCTAAGTATATTATATGTTGTTTTATTTTATTTTATGTTATTTTATTTTATTTTAATTTATATTTTCTAATATATTTTATTTTATTTGATTCAAATGAATTTTTGATTCAATTTAATTTTAATTTATTTACTTATTTTATTTTAATTTATTTAATTTTATTTTAACTATTTTTGTTTATCTTATTGTACTTTATCTCATTTTTTTATGCTAATTCATGTCGTTTTAATTTTTTTATTATGTTTAGTTATATTATTTTTGTATTTATTTTATATTATTTCATTTTATTTCAAATTATTTTGTTTCATTATTTTTTATTTTATTTTATCTTGTTTTAATTTATTTCGTTTCCTCTCATTTTAATTTGATTTGTTTTAATTTATTTTGTCTTATCTTATTTTATTTTATTTTATTTTATTTCATATCATTTTTTATTTTATTTTCTTCCATTTTAGTTTGTTTTATTAAGATTATATAGCTTAGTTTTTTATGTCTTTTAATTTTTATTTTATTTTTTATTCAATTTTAAATTAAATTATTATATTTTATTTTGTTTCATTTTATTTTATTGTATTTTTTTAATAAATTTTATTTTATATTTATTTAATATTTTTATATTCATATTTAAATATTTTTTAAAAACAAAATTGATTTAGTATAATTCCGTTTTTGTTTGTATGTGCACACATACGAGTATATCATAATATTTTCATCAAAAAAATTCCTCACTCTTATTGATACATACATATATACATATATATACATACTCTATACATACAAGTATGCAAATATTCTTTCTTCTACTTCACTAGTTAAATATCTTGCATTGTATTATTATAAATAATATTATTATTTATTTTTCGTATTTTATGTTTTGTGCGCAAGAAAATGAATTGGCTTTTGGTATTGCCACGCAACAAATTTCGTTGAACTATTTTTACCAACGATGACACAGAAATTCCTCTTGCTTATTTAATTTTATATTATTCTTTTTTTTTTATTTCTTCATTTTGTGTTACTTGTTGGCGCTTTCGGAATTTCAGTATTTTACCTGCAAATAAAATTACATACTAACGAGTATCTATGTACATATATATGTACAATATGCATGTACATATGTGCATAAGTAAATAATGCAATAAATTATATTTTATCTGACAGATTCTCAAGTAGGGGGGGAAAAATTTTTCCAAGCGTAGGCCGTGTTGGAATAATTATTTTATTTATTTCTACTGAATTTATTTTCTACTGAATTTGCTTAACTGTTGCTTTGTTTCCACTGAAGCGAGTTTTGTGATGGTTTCTCCTTCCATTTTTCCGTCCGTCTTGATGTTTTTCCAACAAATGTATGGACCAACAGTTTATACTAAATTACCTGTGATAGATTTTCATGAGGAGTGTTTTGCTTCATGTCATAAATACACTCGGAGCTCTTGATACACCCTATCGAGGGGCGATGGTAGTTAAGGGCCATACCTAGTGCTTAATTTAAAAAAAAAAATCGATCTTTTTTCATATTTCGGTAGATTACACCTTTAAAAATAACATATTCTAGATTTCATCCACAAAGAAGGCTGGAATCACTGCAGCAGTGAAGGACCTTTTTTCGCGCCATTGGAGATCGGCTATAACTTAAAAAATATTTAATTTTTTTCTATAAAAATTTCACTGTATATTCTTGAAACATGTATAAATATATTCTTCAAATTTTGAAATAATTGATGCAGTATTTTTTTTAATAAAAATTCCCAAAAATCACCTTTTTTTAGGCCATTACACTAGGGGGCACAAATTGTCATATGATTTAATATGGCATCTTCGAGGCCAAAATGCGTGAGTATGAAGAGCTTGAGAAGCTGGCCGACGATAGTAATGCTCGAAAAATCTATGAAAAGACACGACGACTTACAGAAGGTTTCGACACACACCACCTGTTCATCGATTTAAATACCGCTTTCGGCTGCACGAATAGGAGCTGCCTCTATGCCGCTATGTCTGAATTTGGTATCCCCGCAAAACTTATACGGCTGTGTAAGCTGACGCTAGACAACACCGGAAGCGCAGTCAGAATTGGGAAGGACATCTCCGAGCCGTTCGATACCACACGAGGTTTCAGACAGGGTGACTCCTTGTCCTGTGATTTCTTCAATTTGATGCTGGAGAAAATAATAAGAGCTGCAGAGCTGAATAGAGAAGGTGCTAACTTCTATAAGAGTGGCGTATGTCGATGATATTGACATTATCGGCTTCAACAACCGCGCCGTTAGTTCTGCTTTCTCCAGGCTTGATAAAGAAGCGAAGCGAATGGGTCTGGTAGTGAACGAAGACAAGACAAAATATCTCCTGTCATCAAACAAACAGTCATCGCATTCGCGACTTGGCTCCCCCGTTACTATTGACAGTCACAATTTTGAAGTCGTAGATAATTTCGTCTATCTAGGAACGAGCATTAACACCAATAATAATAACGTTGGTCTTGAAATCCATCACAGAATCCTCTTGTCAGCAAGTGCTACTTTGGACTGACGAACGAAAACCAAACTCTACATCGTTCCCTCATCGTTCCCGTCCTGCTGTATGGTACGAAAGCATAGACGATGACAACATCTGATGAGACGGCGTTAGGAATTTTCGAGAGACAGGTTTTGCGTAAGATTTATGGTCCTTTGCGCATTGGCAACGGCGAATATCGCAGACGATGGAACGATGAGCTGCATGAGATATACGCCGACATTGAAATAGTTCAGTGAATCAAGAAACTGCGGAGCCGATGGCTCGGTCATGTGATCCGTATGGATGCGAATACTTCAGCTTTGAAAGTTTTCCATGCAGTGCCCGCCAGTGAAAGCAGAGGAAGAGGAAGACCTCAACTCTATTGGAAAGACCTGGTAGAGAAGGACCTGGCTGTACTTGGTATTTCCAAACAGCGAAAAGAAGAAACGGATAAATCGGCTAAAACTGCGTAAGTCGATAATATCACAGAATGTTTCCTCTCCTGCCGTGTAACAGAGTTTTGAAGAAATGAGTCCATCCGCTTTCTACTTTCTAGACGAATTTTCAGAAGGAAAGAACTTGGTTTACCGGTTTGCAAAATCCAACACGTCGTAGAATTGAAACTGTACCACCATTAAGCACGTTCTACGCTCCGTGAATAAGTACAAAACGAGATGGCCACGCATCCCGTTTTTCAAAATGAAACCTTGTTCAGCGATGAAGCTCACTTTTGATTTAAAGACTGAAATGTTAATAAACAAAATTGTCACCTTCGTAGTAATGCTAATCACCAAGCCGTTGTTGAGAAGTCGTTGCGCCCCCAAAAAGTCACTGTTTGGTGTACTCTATCGAAGCATTGATCCATATTTCTTCAAAACTGAAACCGCAAACGAATAACATCTTCGCACTTTAATTGAAGAATGTTGAAAGGGACGAACTCTGTTTCTACAAGATGGCGCTACATGCGATACAGGCAACAAACCAATCAGTTTTTTTTTGTTTTTCAATGGCGCATTAATGACCAACGATATAAGGGTCTGTTTTGTGGCTTCCTTGTGCGATGTAATACCGCCGGAATGCTTTTTGTGGGGTATACATGAAGTCGCTTTGAAAGATACTATTCGTTTCGATCGATGGCTGGGCCTCTCGTCTGGAATTTATTCGACCCAGCCGCGGCAATCAATTGCACAAAATCATTTTCAACACAAAAGGGAGCTAAACTCTTTGGCATAACTTTAAATAATATACGTTTTATTTCTTCTTTTCATGTCTAAAGAAAACTCCATTTACTATAATATATTTTTGAAACAATGGTACGTCCTTGTTTTAACAGTTTGCATTCAGCCATATTTGAGTCTTACCGTGACACAAGCGGTCGCAGCTCATTTATTTGGGTGTACAGTGTAAAAAGATTGTAGTCTGTTTACATTTCTTTTTCTTCTTTTCTTGCTTATATTGATGCAACAACAATACGAAGTGACATCTAATGACCCGAACTCACCTGTTGCTCCACTCACAGCATCTCAATTTATCAATGAATTAGAAATTTTGAAGTACGCAAACTCCGGCTTTACACAAATTTCTGTTTTGATTGCACTTTTGTTGGCATTTCTTTTGTTAGAGACCTTCTAAACAAGCCCCATTATCCCTAGAGCATCACTAAACATATGTTTGTGAATTGCTTGAAGTGAGACATGCAACGCGAGGAGTGAGACATGAAGCATCAGCTGGTATTTTGTTTACAAACAGACAACAAATCTGGACCAGAACTGCGCAGGCTTCTCGACAGGTTGCTCTGGTAAACAAATCTATAGTATTTAAATACTCACCCCAAATGTTGTAGTTAAGTTTTTAAGCACTAAATACTCTTTACACCTAAAGGGATTTTCAAAAAAGCAAAAAAAGTGAAAGCAAGTCCATTACAATGCGTAATAAATCTTTCTCTACTAAATAATTTATCTAATTAATTTTTGTGTTATAGAAAATCAGTTGTGCGCACCGATTGACACATTTTATGACTTTTTATCTATTGCCATAAATTCTTATCTAATACTTTTATACCCATCCCTGCAGCGCTGTCACAAATTGTACTGAATCTAATGGTAGGCGATGGGAGTGCTTAATAACTTAATGCTGTGGGGTTTCCAATTCGCATGTTGTCATGTGCGACATACATACATACATATACGTGTACAAATGTGCATATGCTACATAGCATATACGAGTACATACACATTCATATGCATATCTCCATATCACTCATACGCCGTGTTTACCATAATCGTTTTATAAGTGAATTGTTTTCCGGTAGTAGCTTCAATAACTCACTTATCAGTGAAATGGCGAACAAATGAAAACAATGAGTAAACAGCAAAGGAGCTGATGACCCTCTCTCAAACGCTGCTTACCGCATATTATTGACCCACTTTTCGGCGGCACTACTATACTAGGCGGCTTATCGCCTTTCAACCCTGCCGACAGTGTGTAGGTGAGACCGGTGGCAATCGGCACTGAGCCGAGTTGTACGAGTGCTCGTATGCACTTGACAAGCAAAGAGACAACAAATCGTTTAATGTGTATTTTGTGTGTATGTGTGTGTGTGTGTGTGGGTGCATCTGCGTGTCAGGAGTATGCGCGTTTATGTATGTACACTTACATATATATACGAAGAGTTCAAGTATGCTGCTTGTTATCTTTGATAAAATATACTTGCACATACGTCGTTAAAAATAAAGGGTGCGCAGTCATGGATTTGAATCAAATTATTTTGTTGCATATTTTGGGGGGAGAAATGCAGTCAAATAATAAAAAAAATTAATTTTATGCAAAAACAAACGCTTGAAGTTCCAAATAGAGTTGCAAAGGAATTTGGCTCGCTGTTAACGATAGAGATTTATAGCGTTTAGAATTACTTTGATTTTCACACAAATATGAGACGGCAACGAAGTAGAAAAAATATAATTCCTTTCGTATATACATAAATACATATGCATATACATTAGTTTGAGAATTATATAGTTAAAAAAATCAGTTGGACGTTTGCCAAATCGACTAATATGATAATAAAAAATAAAATTTCGAAAAAATAAATAAAAATTTTTGCGAATTTCATATATACATATATATATGTATATATATATATATATACATACAAATATATTTAATATATTTATGTATAATGTTTTCACAACGCATGCATTTAATATGTTTATTTATGTCCAAAACAGATTGAAGAGGATTAAAAGCGTTTTTTTTATTTTTAATTTTTATATTTTTTTTTATTTTATATATTTTTTTTTTTTTGAAATTTAATAACTTTTGAAATGAAATCAAGTTTTAGGTCCTCCAATTCATTATTTATGTCACTCAATTACAAATACGAGAGAATATATATGCATTTGATAAATTGAAAAAGTTTTCCGGCTTGAGCTCAGAATAAATAAAAAACAATTTAAATTTTGGTTGCTCCCGATATATTTCGTTTACACATCGGTAACCGTCTTCAGGGGCAATTAATAATAAAAAAAAATATTTTTAATTTATGGCCGTCGTTAAATTTGGCAAACCCTTCCCTGGTCCGTGCACTTGAGAACCCTATAACACTTAGGTATCTCTGAAGAACCAAACTCCGCTTGAAGACCCACCGGCTTGATGAGTACACAGCTCAGGATTAAATTCAACAATCTGTCGTCAATCTCCACCCATCCCTCCTGAATGGTGTTCGGTGAGAAGGAGTTTTCATCTGTTGTGTTGTTCGACTCAGTTCTGCACAATTTCGTTAAACGAGCGGTTTCTTCTCTGGGAACTGCTTTGTTTATTGGATTTCTTTGGGAAATTCAGATTGCTTCTTCTGTAGCTACCTTTTGTGTACTTCACTATCTGCTTTCCGCTCTTGATCTCTTGCTCATCAACTGAGGTGCCGGCAGCTTAATCTTTGACTATCAAGTAAATTACTACCCACTGGTACCGGTTTTTCCTCGCCTGATTTAGTGACTTTTTACTTTTTTCGGCGATGAACATCTTCTTAAGCGGCCAATGTATCTTAGTTGGTAGAAAAGCGTTCGGCTGTTTGTTGTGATTGCAGCTTTTCGACGTCAATACCTCCTTGTATTAGTTGGCGGGCGTTTTTGGATACACAGAGGCGCGTGCGTATCTTTGCTGCGACTAGATAGTGATCCGAGTCGATGTTAAGACATATCTTGTTCAATATGGTTGGGAGTTTTTCGATTTTCAGATAACCAGATAGCTTGGTAGTAGTCTACAGACAACAATTATTTGGCCCTGGCAAAGCCTATCAGTCTCAATTCATTTGTTTATATTTCGTTGTGAAGGTTGAGTTTTCCGACAGTTGTGCCGAAGTTACCTTCTTTGCCCACCCTGGCATTGAAGTCATCAAGCACAATTGTGACATCGTGGCGGGGGCAGCGGCCATAAAAGGCAGCCTTGATCACTTCATCCTTGTCTTCCTTCGGGGCATGGACGAATAAATATCGGTGTGACGCGGGTTGTGGTGAGACGTTCATACACCGGAGTGAATGCCAGTTCTCGGTGACGGAGTCTCTTCCCCCACCACAAATCCGACACTAAACTTTCACTCCTTTATATGACCGCAGTAGTATATTTCCACACACATTCATCCGTCATTGTCCTGTTCATCGCAGGGGTCGACACCAAGAGGGGATCTCTTAACCGAAGTTTAGTTGCATTTTTCATTGGATTTTTGTTTTTTATGTGGTGAGTCCCAAACCCTAGGCGCAACCGCATGGGTTTCGTCTTCTCACTTTAGCTCGCCTCCAATTGGATGTACATTGCCTACGCGGAGAATACTTGGTCTAAGACGGAAAGTGGTGAGCTGCTTGAACCATAAGCAAAAGAATCCTTTCTGGCCACTCCCAGGTCAACTGCAGTCAAAAACTTTCCACCTTTGCGTGAACTTCTTTCAGCACATGGTCCCATCCTTCAAAAAATATATAATAAATCTAAAAAATATATGGGATTTCAAAACCCCAAAATGGGAAACCCTATTACATAATATTACTATTTTCTATATGAATACCGCCAAGATTTAGTACCATCGCAGTCTTGCAAGCACAAATAAAATAAAATTCAAATTCACTGAAAATTTATCCAACCTCTTTCATTGTCCTCCTTACAGACGCAACCTGTATTTGCGCCAACAAAAACAGATGTCCTAATTTCGCATTAACGCACTCGTCACTTGTCGTACTCTTCCTGGCTGAAATAACGGTTAGTCGCATCCGAACCACCAAACTGTCAACGCTTAAATCACGGTAAATACAACGCCAACGCATTTCACACCAAAAAAAAATAGCAAAAAATAATAATAATGGAAAAATGTGAAAATTGCAATTAAAGCTTTAAACGCTGTCCCAGCGATTAAGTAATCCCACCACTAATAAAGTGCAAATTGCAAAACGAGTTAATAAAATAGCGGAGGAATTAAAGTGAACAAACTGTGACAAAAGCCAAACCCATTTTACCGTTTTTCCACTTTTTCCACTTTTTCACTATTTCCACGGTGGCGTCTGCCTTCAAGTGCTGGTATTTTATTGGTGGGTGCGCCACACTTATAATCGTAAGCAATTTATGTAGCGTCGAATGATAACGGTTTTATATGCGTGCAATTATTATATCAGAAAATGTGCAATTTAATGAAAATTTTCTGCAAATTTCTAATGATTATGTAAGATGTGAAAATTTTCGCTGAAAAGAGATTTTTTCATCTTACCACAGCGACCTCTATACAGTTATACTGAATTTTGTCTGTATACGCGGAGCAACCGCCAACGAGATGCGGAGTCTGCGTCCAAGTTAAAAGTGAAGCAAATGTTATACAACAACAACAAGCACAAGAATTAACGCTCAGCCAACAGCTGATAAATAGTAACGGTCCAATTGACCCAACAAGTGAATTTATCAATGAACTGTTTAAATGTATATGTATGTATGTATGCATGTTGTCAAATGTTGGGGGTTGAAATTAAATGAAAACAAAAACGAATGTCGCGAAGACGTTGTTTTTGGTGGAATGGTACGCGTTATAGCTGTTTGTAAACACTTACAGTTATGAGTGTTTTATTATGCATACTTTTTGTTATTGTTGTTGAGTCGACGCACGCAAACACCTGTTGCCAACCGTTGATTTATGAGCACAATTTAAACGAAACATTCTATTACACGGCGGCCCTTTGGGTATTCATGTACATACATATACGTAGTCTTACATATTTACATACAGCAAACACGATTTGAGCAACAGTTGGCGCCGTATTCTAATCCAACGCTATTTAATATTACAAGTAAAAAATTAGTGCCATATTATTGGCGAATTGAATTGGTTTTTGAGTCCAAAAATTCATTTCTTGTAGTTTTCCAAATGTTTTGTAATGAAAAAATATACCTACAGGGTTTTCCAATAGCAGGTTTTATATTTATATTCAAAGACACTTTTCCTTTAAAACATCGCTAGTTTTGTAACTTGTGTGGCGCGTAGAGCCGTCTTGTTGAATGTTGTCTAGATGAATACCAACCAATATCTCTCTCATAGAGACCCTCACCCCTGTTAGGAATGAATTTAGACAATGGATTTTCACAGTTTTCTCTTGATGCCAATTCTTCAACAGCCCAATTATTCCGCATAGTCAGGAACAGATGGTTTTTACTTGATGCGATGTCCGGATAATAAGGTGGAGGCTTCGGAACTCCAGACTAAGTTCTATGAGCATCTTGTGAGTTACTATCGATGTGTGTAGTCTGTCGTTGTATTCATTAAATACGATTCCCCTACATTTGGCTAAAGCTGATCGATTGCTTCTTCCATTCCTTCGGTCCAATCTCTGGCAGCACAGGTAGGAAATACGAGTTTGGTCATAGGCGCGCAGCTCAAAGTAGTACCGGCTCATTGCCCTTCAACCATAATCGTTTTCTCTGGACGTTGCCGTAAGAAATCCACCTTTCATCAGCAGTAACCATTCGCTTCAGTTATGAGTTGAGTTTGTTATGATTCATCCCCGATTCGCAGGGGGAAATTCGGTCCATGAGAGTTTTTCTCGTTAACTCATGTGGCACTCATACATCGAGCTTCCTTGTGTATTCAGCTTTTTTCAAGGGGTCCCAAACTGTTTTTGTGAAATGTTTAGCTTCTGGGCCATTGAATATGTGCTCTTGTGACGGTCAGTCTCGACGATTTTCATTATGGAGTACATCAAAATTGCGTACCATTGACTGTTACAGTTCTAGGACCATAAACACTATTCACATTTGCAGTTTTATAACCGCTAAAGCGATTTTCGTCCGCGCGTCTTGAAATTTTCCAACAAATGGAGGAATCTCCAATTTATTCTCAACCGCCTCGAACGACCGACAGATTATTCATTTCAGAAATACAATCGAAAAGCTTGACTTTTTTTATAATTTTGGATGTTGAACGAACTAGGACTTTTACCCCGGGACGTTATCTGTATTCTTCTGACTTTTAGTTTGCTATTGAGTTGAGAAACGCGTTATCGCGTGCTGCTCTCATTGGCTGTACCGATGGTTTTATGGAATATTGGTTTGTGGATAGATCTCCGCTTGAGGGCATACAAAACCCAACTCGTACAAGAATTGCGGTCGAACGAGTAGATGGACACCGATCCCGATTTTCACAAGAAAATTTTGTTTAGCGATGAAGCGCAGTTTTGGTTGAATGGGCGCAGTTGTAAACAAAATTGTCACATTTAGGTAATGATAATCCCCAAGCTAATTAAGAGGTGTGTCAGTTAACTAATGAGACTGATTATATTGAGGCGATTGCTGTAATCCTGCGACCTTGAAATTCCGTTTCTCTCCTTCCGGCATCCTTCACCTCTCCTTTGATATATTTGCCATCGCTGTAGCTTGTTTAGTTCGCCTGCTGTGTAGTGTTGCGTACACTTGTGTTCGTCGTGCTCGTCACGAAAATGGAAAAACGAAATCACGAGCAACGCGTCGCGATAAAACTTTGCATCAAATTGGGCGAAACAGCTTCGGAAACGTACGCTAAAATTATAAAAGTATATAGTAAAGTGGTCTTAGTCATGCCCAGGTGTTTCGATGGCACAAAGAGTTTAGGGAGGGGCATGAAAGCGTGGAAGACAAGGCCGGATGTTGCCTTGTTTGAGAGCCGTGGAATCGTCCACAAAGAATTTCTTCCACCGCGACAAACCGTAAATCAAGTCTACTCGCCCCAAGTACTCGAAAGATTGCGAAAACGAGTTAACAGGGCACGCCCAAACGTCGCTCGTAACTGGATCCTTTATCACCTTTAGTAAACAAGGCTGCACCATAACGATAAATTTCACTTTGATCAAAAAATTTCATTCGTTTCGGTTGAAACATTTAAAAATGTAAAGATTAAGGCAGCTATCAAAATGAATTAAGTTTCGTTTTTGCCTGAAACGAAATGCTGCCGTTAATGTTAAATCGTTAACAGTAATGTTAAATCGTTAGCAGATAACATTAAATCCTTAACAGATAATGTTTAGTGTTAACAGATAACATTAAAGTGTGCCCTTAATATCATAGCAAGCGGCCCTTTTAAAATTAATGTTAAAATTGAGTGTGTGCGTTTTCAAAAAACAAAACAAAATTATGTATTTCCTTAAGTTTTTTTTTTCATAATAGGAAAACTATAAAAATATCGTTTCGTTGATTAAACATCTCTGTTATGAAATGAAAATGACGGTTAAAACTCCAAAAATACAAGTGTTTGCTTGGAGTGGAATTTTCTTTTTTCCCACCTACACAATCGATGTAAATTTATTAAAATTTTTTCTATATTTTCTCCAAACACACACAACAGCTGCCTGTAAAATGCCGTTAAGCGCCTTCGGTGCCAAAAACCACTAAATTCGTGCGAAAAGTGAAAAAAAACTACGAAAAATAACACAGAATGGTGACCACAAATACAACGAATAATAATATACATATAAATAATAATGAGGAATATGATATCGATCAGGATGATGGCATGCAGGACTTGGGACTGCCGGTCTCAGTGCAGACATTTCTCTGGCGACAGATTGCCCCATTCATAAGACCCAAATTGGGCAAGTTACATGAGGCGAGTTGTATGGTAAGTTTCCAACAAATATTATTTTTATTGTTTTCTGAAAAAAAAAAAACAAAAAAAAAACAAATTTACAAATCGGCAATTCGCATTACTGTTAAATGTAAACAAAAGAAAAAACACAACAATAAATGTGAGAAAAGGTGTTTCGGCCAATTAGGCATTGCGTTGAGTGTTGAGTTAAGCGACAGAAAAGACATTAATCAATTCACGCCGGAATTACACTATAAGCAACTGTATATAATTACAAAAACAAAAACAAAACAAAAATCGTGTGCTGTAAATAATTGCTATTTAATGTTGAACAAAACATTTGAATATTTCTGAATTGGCCGCAAATTTTCTATGAAACTCTAATTGTCGTCAATTCGTACATTCATTTTTGGCTTAAAATACACTTACTCGAGTGTGCATACATACATACACGAATGCATATGAACCAGTAAATAAACTGAAACTATTTATGTACATTAAATATATACATAAATGTGTTGTCTGCAATTTTTTCAATTGCTTCTCTCGACGTATATATGTATGTATGTATGCATAACTCTCTCTATTTGAAAACACTTTTCATATTTTTCATGTACTTTTCTATTATATAACACTTTACCACTCATATTTACGCGTTTAAAAAAAAAACAACAACCAAAAACACAAATGGTATTTTGGCAATTTTTTTTTATTTTACATTACAAAATCAAATTAAAAAACAATAACAATAACAACGTCGATTGAAATGTTCTCATAACTAATTGATTGTGATTACTTTTGTTGTACACTCGTACTCGTTCGTGTTTGATGTAGTTTTGTCAACATGCACCAGGACATCATGTAAGTTGTTTACATACAAACGTACAAAAATATTTAGTGTTAATTGTATAAATTTAATTGTTTTATTGAGCATGATGTTTCCTCTCTACATAGTATTTCCAATATATTCTTTTATCTCATCACTTAAAATGCTGGATTGATCCATATATACATATACTCGTCTACAAAACTCGAAAATATCACTCATTAATTTCGAGATATTTTGAAATATTGAAGTAAAGGGCTTAAATTATGGGAACAATATTTTTGTAAGGATTTCGAAAACATTGCTAAAGCTGAATTAATTAAATGATTAATTTAAAATTAAAAATATATGTATTAATCACACTCTAGCTATATGAAAACTAGAGTTTGCCCGCGGCTTGACTTCGTTTAACATTTTTATTTAGGTTCTAATTAGACTTACGATAGGTTTTTACGTTATTGATTTTAATATAATAAATTAGGTATTGTCTATTGTGATAAAACCAGGGCTGAATCGTAACACTAAATTTCACGTTAACCAAATATTCAAAACGATTTGGTTAAAGCATTTGAAAATGTTATTGTTAAAATAGTTATCAAAATAAATTTCCTATCCATTTTACCCGAAACGAGATGCGTTAATGTTAAATCGATAACCGATAATGTTAAACGTTAACAGATAATGTTAAACGCCAGCAGATAATGTTAAATCGATAACAGATAATGTTTAGCGTTAACATTGAAGTGTGCTGTTAATATCAAAGCAAACAGCTATTTTAAAATTAACGTTAACACCACTGACTGTGTGTTTTTTCAAAAATAACAATTTCAAGTCGTTTCTTTAAAATTATTTCGTTAAGTTTATTTTTCATATTAACAAAACGAAATGCCATCGTTTCGTTAGCTGAACATTACTGTTTAAAACGTCTGATAAAGATTGAAAAAATTAAAAGTTTTTCACATATTAGCCAAGGCAAGAACATTTCTATGTTACAATTTTTACCCAAATCGCGTCAGTGAAGAAGTTGGTATGAATGTGTTTGTGGCCAGTGCACTTACATAAAAAGTAATCGGTAAGAGTGTACATATTTATTATATTGTGAATTTTATAGGTTAGAAGTTAGAAACTTTTAGAAAGGCCTCGTTTGGAGATACTCAAACTAATCTTCCATATCCGTCATCATAAGGGTCATTTAATCAGCTAATGTACTGATTTCCAACTGAGAAAACGATACCAAAGGTATAATATTACCCTGAAAATTTTCATAAAGTATTGTATATTATATATTTGTATACATTTACATATATTTAATATGCAAAAATGTTAAGTTCATTTGTAAAGATTCGCATACTTCGACTATTGACTTTTCTGATTATTTTTATGGTTCCTGGAAAGGTTTATACAAAAAACTATTTCCGGAATGTGGAGAAAATCTTATTTATGCTTCGATTTACTTGAAATTCACATTGCTTCTCCTCCAATTTTTTGCTTTGCCTCTTTATGTTTTTCAAACAAATGGACAGTTCATTCAAAGCCGTCTCTGCTGATGGCTTTTTATGAAGAGCGTTTTATTTCAAACATTCGAAGTGGTTGACATTCCCTGCACAGGGGCGACCAAAATTAGAAAATTTAAGTTAATTTTTTAATACTCTAAGTTTTGGAGCTTCAATGCATGGGTGGATATTAACCAAAATTAACAGAGAGAACTCTTCTCTCCGGGAAAACTCTTCTTCGAAAAAAATTGGTTTTTAAAGTTATTTTTTAATTTTTTAAAGAGGATCGCTCTAATTGAAAAAAATAGTCATATTCATGTTTTGATAGTTAAATTTTTGTTGTATATACCTTAATGGAATAATTTTGTTTCCTGGGAAAGGGCCAGAGACATGGAAGCAAGTTCGAAGTTAAGTGTGAAAAAGCATAAATCTGAATAATGCGTTGGTATTACTTCGAGTTCTTTATATTAATATATTATCGAAAGATTTTGGGTACCGGAAGTAACCCAAATATAAGACAGGATTAACAAAAGTTCGGTCAGTTGACCAGTACCAAAAGAGCATTTCTTAAGCCTATAGGTTATAGCTCCACTTCTGAAAACAGTCTTTAAAATCTTGATTTTTAAACTTATCAAGTTCAGCATTAACCGCATTAATTATCTCTTCGTTTGTGTTAAAAACCTTTCCTTTTAAAATTTTTTTTATTTAATTTTTGGAAATAACCAGAAATCACAATGTGCTCCGGGGAATATGTGACTGTAGGTATTTCTTCGAACCCAGAGATCGTGGGATGGTGCGTTGTCGTGATGTAAAAAGTAGCACCGCAAATCCTCTTTCTTTCTGTTTTCCAAGAAATTTTTGAAAACTTTTGGTGAGCACTCTTCGGTGTACTGTTTTTCAGTTACCGGCTGCCTTTTTCCAATGGAATAGTAACTACAATTTTATATCGGGTGAAGTAAACTGACATCACCACTTTTGCTGCTGATTTTTGTTGCGTAGATTTTACTCCACCCAATGGACTGCTGTTTGGTTTCTGGATAGTACTTATAGAACCATTTCATCGTCAGTAACGACTTTATTAAATTAACTGGATTATGATTTTCGATTTTTTTTAGGAAATTTTTTTTTTTAGGAAAAACTGAGCAAAATGCACTCGAGCCTATTTTGGCACTCAATTAAAATTCATGATATCCACCGAGCAGATTTCTTCGTGTATCCCAGATGATTACTCTATATTCACAATACCATGCTATTCAAGCCCGATTCATTAGCAATCATTTCTTGTATCAATCGTGGTCTTCACCAGAACTACATTGACGTCATTAGTGGAAGATTTTTTTCGAACTTCTCGGGGCTCTTCTTCGACGGCAAAATATCCGGTCTAGAATCTTCGGAATAGTCTTTAAATACAGTGCAATCATTCCATATGTTATTTGGCATTCGTTGAATATTTTTATTGACTGTAAATTACGCCGAACCCCGAGGAGAATTACATGCCGAATTTCAGTTTGCGTCGGTGGTGGAATTTCTCGCTGACCTATACTCAGTTGTCTTGCGTTTTCTCATCTCCATTTTAGCCGAACATTCTATAATTTGAAAGAAAGAAAGACTAACAAAGTGATTGCAAAGGATTTAAATTTTTTGAGTTAACAAAAAAAAATTGAAAGCGACCAATTGACCGAACTTTCGTTATTCCCCTCATACTTTGACTTAGATGATGCTTAATATATATATTACACGATTTATATTATATATATGTAGTTAAGAAATATCACTTTAAAAATTAAATAAATTATTTCATTTTCACTTTCGCATGCTTTCTCAACCAAATTTCTTTCGTAATGTATTTGTGCTTTTATGTATACATATCAACATATACATAATTGTATTATTTGGTTTGTGTTAATAAGAAAATGTTAATGATTTTCCGCTGCAAAAACGCTAATTTAATACGATTTCCTTTTCTCACTCTTCGTTGAAATATGTTAAACAGGAATCGAAAGAGGCTTGCAAGGTAATTTGAAATTTTCTACAACCTCAAGCTCAAAAATGTATTTTGAACCAATTCACATTCTAACACGCACTCCCCATCGCACCCCGGCGCAGTCCTTTGAAAAAGTGCTCGTACAAAATATACAGTTTGGCCTATCACCACCGCTCACCAAAGCATTGGGCGCCATACCGCGCTGGCGTCTGCTGCAAGCCGCTTTGCCGCATGTCATGCACTGTGTTGCCGCACTGTTGCACAATCGTGTCAAGGATATGCAAGCGATTGGACCTGTTGAAACCAAACTACTTTACACAATGCAATGGATATTGCTGTATGCGGCCGAGGAGTGTGCGGACGATGAGGGTGGCAATGAAATTTTAGGCGATGAGACACCCAAACAGAAATCAATGGAGCAGTATTTGTTTTCAGTGCCAACTATAACGGTATTATAAGGCGTACATTAGACAATGTTAGTGCTCATAACATACTCTGGCTTTCGTTTAGCTCTTCGTCTACTTATTCGCGCCCATCATACATCACTTGAAAGAGTCAGATTTTCAGAATTTTCGTCTCGAGAATGGCATCAAACTGTGGCAAGGCATGTGGGATAATCGTGCGCCAGGTGCACCCTGCTTTACGGCGCCGGTTAAGCCGAAGGCGCGTAATTTGCTATGTGCGCCCACACCTAAAGGCTCTACAGATGTATTTCCAGGACGTAAGTATGATGTGTATTGAAGTTAAAAATTTAAAGAAATGGCAAATACTTTCATATCTCATTTCGCTAACAGGTAAGCAGTCGTCTAATGTCGACGTGGCCACATCGCCAAAACCCGACTCGCCGCAAAGTCAGCTGTCGGAGCAGACGAGGCAAGAAGAAGATGTAAGTTAAGGAAAATGACCCAACGAAGTCTATTTGCAACAAAATTTATTTATTTTTTCCACAGAACTCTTGGGTCTCATCACCGAAAGAGTTCGCCTTTCCTGAGACCATACCCGAAGAGGCCTCTAGCGTGGAGGATGAGCGCATAGTTTTCTTTAGACTACCCTCAGCGCCACATTTAATGGATAATTCTTTTTTTACGGTAGCTTGCCTAATCATCTCTCTATCTCTCCCACTCTCTCTCATCTTTACTAAGCCCTCAATTTGCAACTTATACTTCCTAGGCTGATGCGAGTTTGCTGCAACAACAGCAATCACAAAGTCGACGCGGTAGCCGTCAATCGGTGCACTCCCGCGAAAAAGATAAGCCGGCTACGAAATTCGAATTCGACCAGCAGGAGTTGATGCGTGGCGCATCGGTTAAGGAGAAACGTAGTCCGTCCGTTGAGAAAGAGAGCGAATCGGATAAGTCAGATAGCGTGCGTGTAGACGTGTCGGCAGCTACATTTCTCGATGTGGCCGTATTGCGTTGTCTCTTCATTTCCCACTGGCAAGAGGAGGGTATATTCTGGAGTCTACAGTATTTATACAATCGGTGAGACGTGTGCACAATCTAAATTTTAAATTTTCAATAAAACTTTTCGCCACCGTTTGCTACAGTTTGAGCGAAATAGGGGAGGATGCTGCAATAACTTTAAATCAACCGCGCAAACGTTCGAATTCATTGCCCATACCACAAATCGAAATATCATTGTATCAAGGACCGGGCAGTAATAGTCGTGATAGCCCGAGCAGCTCGGTAGCTAAAGACTATATTGAGATACCGGAGCCATCGATAACAACTTGTTTAGTTGGTAAGTAAAAGTTTTGCGTCGTAGCTTACTGTGCTAACCTCGTGTTTCTCTCTCTCTCTCTCTCTCCCTCTCTCTTTCATTCCAGAGGAGTCCAGCCCCACTGCGGAGCGTCGCGGTAGCGAGAAGAAGAAACGCGTTAAAATGGCGGACTTGCGCGCTTTTGTTGAGACAAAAATGTTTTCGAAATCCGAGAAGAATCTTGAAAAAGTAGGCCTAGATACATGCTCTGCTAATGGCAAGAGACCACTGCAACATGCAGTAAGATTGAACTTAACTAAATTTTTGGTTTTTGTGTTACAACAAACTGCTCTCTCTTTTTTTGGTGAAATATTTCAGCGTTAAATGTCTTTAATATCAGAACTATGCTATCTAACACTCAAATTAAAAAGCACTCATCTCATACTTAAAGTATTTTCTTAACATAACCTAACATAACCGACACCTAACCGATAATACACATAGTTTTTTGGCTTATATTTTTATTATTTCAGCTTGAAGAAATCCATAATATTTATTAGTAACCCTTAACAATTATATCTAACCATAACAAGTACCGCTATATTTTGAAAAGTTCAATTACTTTTGCTAATTACACTTATAACTTATGCTTCGTCTCAAAAATGCTTGCCTTATTGATGAAATCTCTTCACTTCAATACCAGGAATATCATCGCAGTTTAGACACGGGCGAGAAGAAGTTGTCGCGCTCAGCTTCAATGATCACACGTGAGCCGGCGAGTAATCTTATAAAGGGGAAATCAATGCCGAGCTTAAGGTATGCTTTACCACATTCATTGAAGCTTTTCTTTCACTATTCTATAAGAACTTACATAGATCGAATAATTACGTATTCAACTAACTTAGTAGCTTTACTAACACATTACGAAACGCTTAGTAGATTAGTAAACATTTACAGTTACATTTTCAATTATTTTTTAACAAATCACTTAAAACCGAATTCAAATTGAGGTTAAGTAAGTACTTGTTACTACCAAAAGCAAATTTTTAGTAAAAAATAAACTATTCAAAGTATTGTCGGTCGCAAGCGACTACCTTTCTCCATCTCTCTGGTAATTTTCTTATAGAAATCTCTTAAAAATTAGTCCTCTCTGTTTCTGCAAAATTTATAGGTCGCAGATTCACTATAAACTTCTACCGATATTCGATAGAAATCGAAACTTCCCATAAATGTAATTTATTCAACACAAATCCGGAGATCCTCGAATAGGCCAAAAACAATGTTGTGATCAGAAACAAATGCTGATGCAATTTAATTATTGTTGGTATACTAATTGCTTAGACTTTGAAATAGGTAATCGCTTCGAAAATCGGCAACAACTTGCCAGTGGAGGCTTCTTTTGAGTATCCTAACGTTACTCTCCATAACCAGTTTACTATTGAAAGTAGACTAGTTTTTTCAAAACATCTACAAGGTTAGAGAATGACTCTACAACAATCGATTATTGCTTAAGAACTATAAATTTTCTCAATATTTTATTTCTCCAGTTTAGTTGAGACATATATATATATACTCGGCTACCGCGGCCACCAAGAGAGTTAAGACAGGTATACGTCCATGAAACCATCCTCGCCTCCCGAGGAGTGTAACTTGTTTATAAGAGTTGCGCTTAGGACAATATATCAAGAATCAATCCATCTTCACCTTCTCAAATGCTCGGACCATTTCTTGTGTCTTATAAAAACGACGAGCGATCTCTGCGTGGCAGTCAGAGAAATTTTTTCCGAGGAATTCATGTTGCGCAGATTTTAAGTCTGCACATTGACAGAGGTAGTGTTCTATGGACAGCTGCGACATAAATGATTAGATTGATAGCCTATGCTTTGCACGTGAAGCTCCATTATAAATTTTATTGAACACTCCCTCTATCAATGAGCAGCTAATGTAGAACCGGTCCAAAGGGATAAGAAATCTTAATCTTTTCGCGTCCAATTTTGGTCATAGTTGTCTGTTCACGTTGCACGTGACCTCATCCATCTTCTAGTATTTGCACTTTCGACAGAGGCAAGTTTCAGCATATACTTTGATATCATTACGCCAGCGCTTGGACACTCCTATAGTAAACTTTACTTTTCCTACTCAACTCTTCAGCTCGTTTCAAAAAAGAACACGATAAGGACTGATCTTGTCTGAAAGATTATTTAGCATCAAATGGCTCGGATAGATTTTTTACGGTTCTAGCGGAGTTATTGATGTTGCTGAATGTCAGTTTCAGCTTCTTTTCGTGTTGTCGAAGGTTGGTTTAAAATCATCAGAGAGGTAGGTTGTGTTGACCCTCTTTTCACTAATCTTTCCAAGATTTGTCGCGAGGTGAATATTTGGTCATTGTAGATTTTCCAGATCTAAGGCCACACTTTTAAATTACACACACTACGCTTTATAGGATCTTTTATGCAATATTTCGGAGGCTTATCCCACGGCTTGCAGTCTCTCCTTTTGTGGATTGGACAGAACACACTTCAATCACAATCGTTAGGTTTGCTTTCACCCGTGTCAGTTCTTCCTCAACGTGTTCGAATAGCTTGGCCGATAATCCGTCGGCTACCGTCACTATGGGGTTCTTCATAAGGGCAATTGTTATACGAATTTCTTCATATGAATGATACAATCTGTCGGTCGAACAACCCTTTGGGTCCTATAAAACAGTTACTCGAAGGAATTAGCAGCTCAATTTCGACTTACAATACCCTCATCTACGGTATACAAAAGATTTTCTGCCGAAAATTTTTAACCCAAGCAGTGCTTTGAAAGGCCACACCACTTTCTTCTACATTTACTTCTGTTGTTGTTATAATTTTCCCTTAAATTATTTTTTTTCAGCTACATTTTCCTTTTATTCATTCTTACTTTATCTTCATTATTGTTCGACGGTGAGCAGAAATTAAGTGGAAATTAAATTGAACGGTGTGACCAGCCATAAACTCAACTTCACCAAAATGCTGTTCAGACTAATTTCCTGAAATTAAAATTCTAGTTTCAAGAAATTGTTTATAGTACTACGTGGTACTGCACTCGAAATTAAATTTCAAAATTCGTTACTCTGACATGTAACTTAAATAATTGCTGTATCTGACGACAACTTAAGATTCCAATACGGGTTCTTATAATTTGTTTATCCCCCAAAATAAAAGTTTTAATATTAAGGAACTTGGTTTCTATGAACTTTTGGTCCACCCCAAACACCTGAGAAAAAATATATAAAAATAAATAACTAAATCAAATCACTAATAGGAAAAAAATAAAGAGCATTTAATATTTATTAATTATGAGACCCATACTGTACACAGAAATTAGGTTAAATTCTAAGATGAGAATATAAAATATTCTTAAAGCAAAATCATTGCCACATACGAGGGTTGCCTTTTATATTTCGAGATTTGAAACCTCCTGTGTTGCATTCCATTTTTGGTGTTGAAGCTCCATTAGTGTCCAGCGTTTATAAAGGTTGTCAAATATCTTCCTTCCGCTTTTTTGCTCTTCATTCGTTTTGTTCGATGATCTGTATCCATCTAGACGGCAACTTTATAATACCTTCCTCGTAGAAGCCCCCTCCTTATTTGAAAAGAATTCGGACAGCCACTTTTCACAAGCCTCTTTTGAGTTCAACTTCACACCACCAAGGGCATTTGCCAAGGACAGGAACAGGTGGTAATCACTTGGCGCTACGTCCGGGCTATATGGTGGATGCGATAAAACCTCCCATCCGAGCTCCCGTAGCTTCTGACGAGTCATCAACGAAGTGTGTGGTCTGGCGTTGTCCTGGTGGAACACTACACCCTTCCTGTTGGCCAATTCTGGACGCTTCTAGACGATCGCCTGCTTCAAGCGGACCAGTTGTTCGCAGTAGATGGCAGAATTAAGCGTCTGGCCATATGGGAGCAGCTCATAGTGAATGATTCCTTTCCAATCCCACACAGCAAAACCTTCCTAGCCGTCAATCCCGGCTTGGCCACTATTTGGGACGATTCACCGGCCTTCGACCACGACCGTTTTCACTTGATATTGTCGTATGTGATCCATTTTTCGTCGCTAGTCACCATCCGCTTCAAGAATGGGTCGAGTTTGTTCCATTTCAGCAGCATATCGCAGGCGTTGATTCGGCCTAGAAGGTTTTTTTGCGTCAAATTATGAGGCACCCAAACATCAAACTTTTTTTTGTATCCAGCCTGCTGCAGATGGTTCAAAATGGTTTTATGAGTAAATCCCATCTCCTGGGCGATGTCACGAGATGCCATATGCCGGTCTAACTCGATGTATTCCATGATTTGATCGGTATTTGTCGTCACAGGTCTTCCGCCGCTGGCTTATCCATGGTGTCGTTTTCACCGGCTCTGAATCGTCGAAACCACTCCTCCGCGGTTCGAAGTGATAGAGTACCATCCCCCAAAACACCATTAATCTCACGGAACGTTTCTCTAGCGGATTTGCCTTTAACGAAGGAAAACTTTAAAATAGCGCGAATTTCGGCTTTAGTGAACTCCATGCTTACACGTCTATAACTGTTGAACGCAATATCCAAAGTGTTGCCAGATACGAGCACTGTAGCGCTTTGTACATAGCCGCGAAATTCAAAAGACAAAAAAGGAAGGAAGATATTTGACAACCTAATATATCGAAGTCACAGATTACTCCAAGATCAATTAGTAAGATCGTCTTGTGACATACACACAGTGAGATTGAGATAATTATAGGCATTAGTGGGACCAGCAAACAGTATTTCATGAACATTTGACTGCAAAAGAAATTGATCACGTTGGATTCCACACTATTTGTCAAACACTCAAAAAAAAGCGCTCTTGTGGATTTATTGAGAATGTTAAATCATTCACCAAAGATAGAAACAGATGGTAATCTGTGCGAAGTCTAGACTTTAAGGTGGGTATATAAGAACCCCCAAACTGAGCTCTCGTCGATTTTTGAGAGTCTCTACCGATGTGTGTAGTCTGGCATTGTCATGCTGAAACTCTATTCCCCTGTTGGCCAAAGGTAGTCGCATCTGGGCAAATTGCTTCCTTCAGAAGGTCCAATTTCGAAGGGGAGTAGCTCATATCAGATGTAATCCGCGAAACCAAAATTGTGCATGATTGACTGTTACAGTATCAGAACCCTTACAGACCCTTTATCGAAGAAAAATTGTAGAATGTCGAGTATTTATTCTTTGCTGGCGTCCATCTTTGACACGCACTCAAACACTACTGTGTTGACTGATAAACACTTCTTCCATTGGCTTTGTTGGCACAAAATATTCTATAGAACGCGAGATATATATCACTAAAGCCATCTATTGGGAAAATAATGGATTACTTTTTACTACACCTGAAGGGAAACTCTCGCTTAATACTGATATAAATGAAGTAATAGTAATATAATTTTTCTCACTCATCAAAGCGCACATCTTCCCCCCAGCCCCTTGCATACCAAATCAAACGCATTCCGCATTTAACCCTTTAAACCGCATACCCCGCATACACAATACTTAAAACTATAAATTTTCGCTTAATCGCAAAATTCTAATCGATAATTACTTTCGTTTAATCAATTATGTAATTGTAGCTATCAAACGTGTGAAAAGCATGTTCATATCTTATGTGAACGCCGAAAGTCAGAAGGCTCTGCGCTCTTAACTCGAATGAAAAATACCTGCCATGCCTCGTCGCTACAGAAACTGTTAGTGCTGATAGTTTTCTTCAATTTTTTTCGATAAAGTTTTTTTTTTTTAAATTTTTCTTCAAATATCAACTTAGCACATTTTTCTTTATATTAAATATTCAACTACTACGTAGAGTTTTGTTAACCTGTTTTGTCCAAGAACACCCTGTTTTGTCCCGTACAAAAAAAAAACAAAATGCAGAATCAATTCACATACAAATAAACCACTTGTAGTTGAGCTTTTAAATGAACTTTCATTATTAAATGAATTTTTAAACATTTTTCAACTTAAAAAAAAAAAGAAAAGTTCTAATAATAACCTTTTATACTTACGTATTTACTCTTAACTATTTACTTAGTGAACGTACTTAGACATAAATATTATATAAAATTTTCACTTTCATATATTTCCCACACAAATATCCTTCACATGTACACATATAAATATTTTCATACATTAATGTGTAAGTGTAGTAAAATAAGTTAAATTAAAGAATTAAAATATATTAAAAGAAAAACTGCTTTAACACTACTTAACAACCGTTACAACGCTACAAAAACAATCAATTTTTTAAATTCCGAAATAAATATGTTTGTCCACAACCACAACCACAAATAACCGACCCACCAAACGCTTACCAGGCACTCGTATCTTCACACAATTATTCCCCACCACACCATACCACACGAACACACTTAGCTCCTTTTGTAAACCCAAGACCCCTTATGTTATCTACTAACTGTATCTTACTAAAACTTTGCACTCTTCTCTTAACCTTAAAATATCCAAAGCTGTCTTCTTGATAGCGGGTGAGTCTGCTTCATGCAGTGAATTTGTATTTCGTTAAGTTTGGGTTTGCTTTTTAAAAAATAAATCAAAATCGTGGTATTAACAATAGATATTGCGCTAATAAGCACGTTGTGAATACTTTTACATATATATATCCTTCATACTCGTTTATCCGTTTCTCAATTCATTTAAGATTAGTTCGCTTAGAAAAAAAATTATTATGAAAATCATATGAATATTCGGAGCAATTCGAATATTATATACCCAACACTGTAGGAGATCTCAGAGTGTTTTGAAAATACGTAATCAAAACTGAAAGTGAGGTTAGTCAAGTGTTCTGAAGTATCTTGTTAAAACAGAAATCCATCTTCTGTTGGTTAGAACCTTAGAGATATGTGAAAAAACAGCGATCTTTCAACGACCGAAAGACCTGAAATCCCTCTAAACAAAATCTTTAAATTTCCTAGTAGTTAAGTTTATATATCTTTCATTGTTGGCTCAAGTCTCGAACTTTTAGATCTTAACATTAATAATAATAGTTGGCACTTTGCAACCGCAGAAGAGATTTTCGGCCGGACTCCTCGCGCAGTTTGTGGTCTGCGCCCTAAAGTTTTTCCAACCAATGAGAAGCTTTTTATTTCAGAAATACACTCCGAGGGCTCTCCTTCTAAATATTAGTACTCAATGCTAACGACTTTTCTATTGCGGTCGCTTAGGTGGATGGCTGCTATGCTCCACATAGATCTGTTGGTCTTCTTCCTCATTGCCGTGGGCGCCATTTATTGTAGCCGAATCAAATTTCCATTCTTTTTTTCGTTTTAGCACTATTTGGAAATACCAAGAGAAACCAAGTCGCTCTCCTCCTGATCTTTGCAATACAGTGGAGGTCTTCCTCTGCATCTGCTTCCACCATCGCGTGTTGCATCAAATACTATCAAAGCTGACGCCCTTTCATTTATTCGGGTGAAAATATCTAGCCAGGTTAGCCACTGTTTCTTCATTCCCTGAACTATATCAATGACATCGCATAACTCGTGCAACTCATCATTTTATCGCCTGTGGTATTCATTGTCGGGAATGCGCGAAGGACGATAAATAGTCCTCCTTCAATACCAGACCCATGCGCTTCGCTTCCTTGTTAACTTGGAGTAGACAGAACTAACGACACGGTTGTTAAAACCTATGATATCGTTGTCATCGGCATATACCAGCAGTAGTACACTCTTGTCCAAGAAAAAATCGCACGATGTAGAGTCACCCTGTCTGAAATCTATCTAACTGTTCAGAGAAATGCTACTCGATTTTGACTGCACTTCTGGTGTTATCCAGCGTGAGTTAACACCGGCAGGAAATATCTAATTCAGACATGGCGGTGTAGAAGCATCTTCATTTCGTGCTGTTGAAGGCTGCTTTAAAATCGACGAGAAGATGATGCGTGTCAATACTCTCAACTCGATCCTGGACGACCCGCCGTGCCACAGCATGTCCCACTGTTTCGCCTCTAGAGGGATCGCCGTGTTGCAACAATCGCCCTATTCGCCCAATATACCACTCAGTGACTTTTTTTATTCCCTAGAACAAAATCGGTGGCCAAAGGAACCAATTTTGATTCGATTGAAGACATTCAGACGGCCGTGATGAGAGTACCCGCGGACATCCCAGTCGAAGCGTTCCAGAAATGTTACGAAGCATTGAAAACGCGCTGAAATCGTTATATAGCTGCCCAAGGGGACTGCTTAGATGGGGATGACATAGTTGTAGAATAATTTTGAAATATACGATTTTTATGGTATCAGTCTCATTACTTAATTGCGACACGTCGTATATGCCTTCAAATCTCACTGTTGATCGGTGGTGACTTGACTGTGACCAGAGACCTTTTAGGATTTAACTCCTTTAGAACGTCTCTTCTTAGTGTTGGGTATAAAAACATTAATCTCAAATTTTTATCAAAATTTTTTAACAAATTGAGTTATTATTGTTGTTAAAAAAATATTTTATCATCGGTAGAGTTGCCACTTAATTGTAGTTAACCATTTTTTTGCATCAATTTGAAGTTAGCATTTTATCCATTAGCTTTTAGTCAACACTTTTGCAAGCTTTAAGTCTTTTTTGCGCTTTAAATCACAGCTTTTCATGTTTCACGTGAACCATTTGTTTGCCAATCCCAATAATCACCCATACTAATGTCGAGAAGTTCGATAAAAATAGAATGGGCTCTCATAAATACAGTTATCGCCGCCGCACTGCCGCACATCATGTCATTCCGCAAACTAATTTCAAGCATTTTGCTATTTGTTCAACATTACCAGATTTTACAGGTATGTAGAGCCACCGAAAGCCATGCGTCCCTCCCAGTCAACCGGGCCACGTACGGCCTTCTATCCGCGCAATCCCATAATCACGGTCACGGAACATACGCCTACACCGTCGCCAGATTATCTTAAACGGCAGGTAAGTAATTGCCGGAAGTTCGCGGCATAACCGCCGACTACACGTGTCTGTGTGTGTTTATTTGTGGCATATCCTCAAGTGTGATATGTTATTTCCGTGCGTTCATGCGATTAACCACTTTTTCTCTTTCGCTCTGAACACAGGGCTCCATTGACTCTCAGTTGGACGCGCTCAGCAATGGTGGCAGTATTAGTGGTGTAGCAGGCGGCACAGGTGGCAGCGTTGGCGCTGGTGTTGGCTCCACAAGCAGTCGTTTCCGCGGTCAAATGTTACGTTCACACACCGACTCACACATCGATTATACGGGCGTAGACGAATCGGAGGCACCCGGCAGCTCATTTTATATAACACGCGATGGTGGCATTGACTACGAAATCGTCCTGCTGGCGGTCTATAATATATTCAAGCGTGACATGACCATTTGTTCGCAACGTGTCTTGGAAGCCGGTTTGAATATTTGTGAATTGTTACTGGAAATGGGCGTACTTAAGTTGGGCGAACATGCGCATGAGATCTCTATGGGTATTATAAAGCGTGCCTTGCTCATATTGGGTTGTCATAACGGTTGCAATGATGGTAGGTTTTAGTTGCACAAGTATTAAACATTAACTTCTTCTAATTTTTTTTCTCCACAGGAGTGCGCGGTCCACCAGCCGACTTCTTACGTAGTCAATGCCAGAAGATTCTCTCACGCGTTCTGCGTCAAGCGAGCCAACGTACTAAACGTTATTTACAGCAAATGGTAAAGACTTCGGATTTGCATGAGTTAGTGGACTTCTTTCATGCCTTTGTGGCTTTTTGTGTGGATCCAAGCTCATTACTTTCGCCGCTGAGTGAGTCTCTTTATATACTTATGTAAATTGGTAGTTTACAGTAGATAATGAAAGTAGTTGGTCTTGCATGTTTAGTCGTTTTTTTTCGAAATCTTTTATTATGGTGTTCATTTCTATGTTTAGCTGGAAAAGTGTTGCTGCGTTTAGAAGAATCAGACCAAACTTGTTTTCAATTTAATGCTCTACAGCTAGAAATCTTTAATAATTCGTTAGAGGTTCATATTTGCTGAGATCCAGCAGTGACTTCAATCTAACCTCATATTCCAGATCACTTCAGTGTACACCAAAAATGTTTAAAGCTTTCTTCGATCCAATATCTCTTATCTAGTATAAATTCACTAGCTCAGCACTGGTTCTCTAGTCTCTCGACCTCTCGGGATGGATTATTTTTGTCCGACTATATTCCAAGCGAAACAAGGGCATCTTTGTCATACCAGAAAGCCTCTTCTCCTTCGGACTACATATTCAACTTGTTATCGATAGGTCTTCCAAATATGTTTAGTATTTTTAATTTATTAAATTATTTTATTTAAAAAAAAAAGTACGGTTAACCAGTAATGACTACTGTCGCCGCTATAAGCAGGAATAACCCCAAAACTAAACACAAAGTAAGGCAGTTTCGTCCACACTATGAAATTAGCTTCCAGATAGTAAGATACTCAGCCAATACCTTGGTTACAAACTTATATAAGCATCAATGTAGTTGGTTCTATTCACCAAGAAATGTTACGTTCCAGCTTGGATCAAACCAAAGCTGGGAGAAGCCACTTTGCTCTCACCTCCTGCTCTTTGCGTTGGACCATCGTTGTGTTCGTAAAGCCAAACTTTTCTATTTGCAACCGAGCATTCATAACTGCAGCGAGTCTATACCCTTCAAGTCAACTGGAAATCAGAATAAAAAAGGTTCCCGCACCTGACTTTGCCAGTCACAATAGAGGCGTATGACTGGAATAATGAGCTGAGGCTTATTTATAAGCGATACAAAGTGGAGAAGAAGATACTTCAGGAAGTGGACCTTCCCAGAATCGCCATACATATTCAGCCAAGCGGCCGTTAAAACCCGGCTTTCATATAATCCGAAGATGGTTGTGCCCTGCGTAAAAAGTTGGTCAAAAAGCACACTGAGAAAAGAGGACTCAGATTTACGGGTGGCCAGGTCATCGATCAGGCAATGAAATAGCTTATGAGCTGGCTAAAGAGAGTAGACTTCAAGAACAGGACGTAGCCATCGACCTCCAGTTCCATTCAGGAAAGTAAAATAAATAAAAAATAATATTGTTTCGTCAAAATTTCATTTGGCAAAATCAGACAGGACTGGTGGAGAGTAATAAGTACAGGGAATGTGTGTGTGTAAATAGTGTAAGACATAATCTCTGAGTAGCCAGCTCAACCTAACCTAAGCTCGGCTTCACTTTTTATTTTTGTTGTTCTTGCTAACGAATTCGTTTTCGGAGAATATTGCGAGAGTAGTAGTTCTTGTCCATTTAAAAATCCGGGTCGCTCAAGTATATAGACCCGACTGTCGCGTGAACTATTGGATTTTAGTCGCGTCTTACATCAGGAATGCTTTACCACAAGTAAATTTTTGGGATCCTAATCCGCAGAATAACTCGCAGAGTGACTGAAAAGGTGCAGCTTTAGTCCGCCTACGGCCAACTGATGGATTTTTAGAAGAAAATTTTGTTGACATTTCCTAGTGAGAGCCAATTAAATTTAGAAATAGACTTCTCCCATATTTTTAAAATGTTAGGTTGGCATGGGCACGAGTTTTTGGTCCTCCGAAGCACGTTCGGTTACTGCGATCGTAGTGTTTTTCCATTTTAAGTCTCCGCTTAAAAACAACACATCTTTCTATTAGACTTCTTTTAAGTTCGATAGTAAGATTTTCCACCACTTCGATAGAGAACCCTATAATCTAACATTAGAATCAATGATAAAACAGTTCTTATCGCCCTTTTAGATTCGAAATTGCGAGCGCAATCATTAAGTACCACCAACCATCACCGAAACATCAGCCAGTCTGTAATGGGTCTGTAATGGGTGTCCATGAATGAATGAAAAAATAACATAATTTATCAAATCGATCCTACTAGTTGTTAATACGGAAGACTTGTTTCTTAGCAGACATGAAGAATTTGTCCATACGTGTATTAATCTTCCAAAATATCTTCTAAAGTCTTGTTCAGAAACCTACCTTAATTGATTCCTCTTTTCGATTGCTGGAGCATAATCAAAATTACATCATTTATTATTTAAATATTAGTGTAGGTAGCAATGCGTACTACAATTAAGAAGGCCAGGGTTTGAGTCCTGGTCCATCTAGCCATCAAATTTACAGAAAATTACTTTCTCTAATTACGATCGCCTCCGGCATCTCGACATGGAAAAAGCTCCTCATAAATATCCATCAGCTGTTCAGTGGCGGCTTAGAATAAACTGTAGGTCCTCCAAAAATTAGAGAAGCAGCTCGCCCGAAAATCGCCGGACTTAAGTTTCTTTCTTCTAAATCTGTACACTTTTGAACATATTTTTATCGAAAATTATTTATATATATTTAATTAAGGACTCCAATTGGATGCTATCAAAACCTATTTTATTAAAATTTGAGCATATGTACATACATAGATATTGTATAAATATATATCTAGTAAAAAGTAAACCATTATTTTTGCATCATATTGAATTTTTATTTTATTTTATTTACCATAGTTAAAATTATTCGACTTTACATTTCAAAGGTAATACCATGCCGCTGCCATTGAAACCCTTGATCCTCTGGGCAAAAAATTGGGACAATAAATTTTCAGAGGTTACCTTCGGGACCAATTCTTCAGGAGACAAATCATTCACCATAGACAAGAACAGGTGGTTTTCACTTGGTGGGTGGTTCGGAACATAAGATGAATGCATAAGAACTTCGCAACCAAGCTATCGAGCAGTCGAGTCAATATCTATGTGTGCGGTCTGACGTTGCCCTGATGAAACACAATTCCCCTTCTGTTGGTCAAAGTTGGACACAACTGAGCGATTACTTCCTTCAGACGGTCCAATTGCTGACAGTACAGGTTCGCATTAAAAGTAAGGGAGAGCAGTTCAGAGTGGATAATTCCTTGCCAATCTCATCATGGACAAAGAGGACATTTGTTGGCTTTGAGACCGTTTGTGCCGGCTCACGGGCCTTCGATCACGATAGTTTTCGTTTGACGATGCAGTAAGTGATTCACTTTGCATAACCAGTCAACATGCTCAGCAAAAGTGGGTCGATTTTGTTACGATTCAGCAGCGGTTCGCGGATGGGAACTCGTTACATGAAGTTTTTTCTCGTTATCTCTTATGGCACCCATGCAAAGAGCTTCTGTGTGTATTCAACCTACTTCGAGTGGTTCCAAATTGTTTTCTATGCAATGTTTAGCTCCTGGGCAATCGATACAGTGCTTGCATAACGGTCACACCAGACGATTTCCATTATTTTATTGCTATTTTCGGCAATTGTTCTTCCACACTATGGAGATCATCAATAAAATTAAAATTACCTCAACGAAATCAACGAAACTGGCTGTCGGGTATTTGTTCTTTGCTGGCGTCCATCTTTGACACGCGCTCAAGCACTACTGAGTTGAGTGATCAGCACTTCTCCCATTGGTTTTTGAGTACAAAATATTATCTTTCTAACGTCATATTGCTTAATCCGCTCGCTCTGGGAGAACGCGATATACAGATCACTAAAGCTATCTATTCCAAAAATAATATGGATTACTTTTTACTAGACCTAATTATGTCTACTTTATTGAAGCACATTTCTTCACATCACATCCTTTTTCTGTATATTCGTAATCGCTTTCTTCAATACACTTCTCAACCACTTTAAATGTCCTTACTTATAAGTGAGCATTACAAGAACCTAACCTCAAAATTTGCATGGCATGTTTTATACGAGTAGGATTTTTTTTTAACTTTTAGCTTTATTTAATTCTTAACCCCTTTTTGCTTATATTTTTCTATTTTATTTTTTTGGAATTTTTTTATGCAATGCCCTACAACCCCTTTCTTGTTCTTGTTCTTGGTGTTGCGATGTTTTATTTTGTTCGTCACGCTCCCTCTGTGAGAAATATGTACACACACCAAATCTCTTCGTTGTATACTCGTATGTATGTATAAATGAATATAATAGCACATAAGCGCACGGGTGGATTTAAAAATGTTAACACCGATACGTCCCCATCAGGCGGCCAAGGTGGCTACTCGACTAATTTCAGTGGCGGTCTCAGCGGCGGTCCGGAATCACAAGTAATTGCTGCTGTCTTCAAGCCGTTGGTTACACGTTTTGTAGAAGCTGCAAAAGATCTGAAGACGCCGGAGAATTCCACACTTTATAGCGACATAAGACAACTTATCACCTATGTAAAGGGCGCACATGGCGGACCATTTAGATTGGTGGCGTTGAGTGGTATATTGGCGGTGACACCGCGTCCACACAAGAAGGGTCCCATTTCACAAACAACACGCGTTATAAGGTAAATATGTGCGGAGATCTTACTGCGAACATAGAAGTTATTATTCCTTTCTACGCTCTGCAGACACATACCACAGGCGGAGGTCGCGCAGAGTATACCAAATGATGACAATCGTTCGCAACGCCGGTTGCTGTTGAAAAAGCGCAGTACTTCTTCAGCTTGTGCTGTGGTAAGCATTTTAAACCTCTAAGAACACTCTTTAATTATTATTCTTTGCTTTTTTACCACAACTACTACAGAGCCTGCTTGAAACGGAGCCATGTGAAGAGCACTATAAGAGCAGTCAATCGCCATTGAGCAACTTTCGTCGACGCACGACCGGCGTACGTCCAACACTTACGCCACGTCACAGTGAGCGCGCTTTACTCTCCGACTCCACCTCGAGCTCGGAACGTAATTCCCTGGGACGTTTGAGTGGACTCGTACGTTGGTTTCGCAGCACACCGAAAGAGGCTTCGTCGATTGATTTGGAAATTGGCTCTCTGAATCCGGAAATTACATCGACTTTCATACGTCACGCTTCGCTGAAGATACAACGAGGACGTACAAGTGATGGCATTGGACGCTCAATACAACGCGCTAAGCGGCGTGTGGAACGGCGTCTCAATCGTTTTGGCGGCATTGTGAAGGGTAAGAAGAAGACGGGCGGTATTGAGGAAACCGCTGATAATAGTCGACGCAGCTCATCGGACATGTGTGATGGGCCACGCGAATCGGAGGTGGTGGTGTTGAAGGAGCGGAAATTGATACCTCTGGAGCCGGTGCGTATGGGCATGTTGCGTTTATCGTTTCTGTTAGAAACCTGTGCGCCGGGCTCTTTTCCCGATCCACAGCTGATTGCAGCCGTATTGGATTTGGTAAGCAACCAAAACTTATTACATTTTGCTTCCCTAAATTTTAACTCTCCCCACTCGTGATAGCCCCAAGCGCCACTTGTTGCACGTGCCACCTTTCTACTGGAATGCGCACACTTTGTACATCAATGCAATAAAGGTCAGTGGCCACCCTGGATGAAGCACAATTTAACCGGTTATCGGCCGTCGGGCGCCAATCTCAATATAAACCAGACCAAACATCAAACAACAGCAACTTCTACCAGACGCACACATATTTTACAGCGAGCAGCCGGCAAAATGTTTCATCAGGTATGGGTCGCTCATTAATCACCGAAAAATAAAATTAAACTTTCCCCCCGAAAAGTGGGCAGAGATGCTGGGCGCTCGTTTGGAGGAAATCATCTTCACCGAGCGTCTGCAATTCGAGACTGTGAATGCGACGCTTGCCGACCCCGAGCGTCAACGCGAACTGCTGCAGCAAGACGAGGAGGAGGACTTTCTTGATGAAGCTTCAGTCAATCCACACGGTAACGATTGTCCACACGCGTTGAAATTAATCGCATGTGTGCTGCTCTACGAGATCACTTCATTTCTGCGCGACACCTATGTGCTCCTACCAAAAGCCTCCAAGCTGTTGCATCGAGAGAAACATGCGCCTTGGGAGAAAGTGTATCGCGAAGCAAATCGACGTTGGTCAATGGCTCTAAGCTCGATGGGTCACTCGCAGACCTCTGCTCAGAGCTTGCAGTCCATCGCCGCAGGTAATGATGCAGCTGGTAAGTGTGACACTTCCATTTGATGTATATTTCTAATGATTTTCGTTCTGCAGGTGGCCAAACTGAGCGTAAAATTTCTTTTGTACTACACGAACCGGACAACGAGTCGGAGAACAGCAGCAATACGACGTTAACAAAAGAAGGTGAAGAAGGTAGTAGTGTGCCTAGTAGCTATTAGCGCGAGTTCGGTGAGTTAAATATACTGTCTTTAACTTCTCTCTTTAGCACGACGTCCAGCGGCATCGGCGGTGCGTCCATTCCTCTTGCGACGTGGCACCGCAACTACCACAGGTGGCTCATTCAAGCGACGTTCGTTGAAACTGCGCCGTAACACCAAGGATGGCAAAGAGTTGGAAACCGATTGTGAGTTAGTTCTTCGTAAGATAAGCCTTTGAAAATTTGTAATTTTCCTAACGCTCTTCTTTCTTTCATTTCCTCAGTTAAACGCGTCGACTCCATACAATCTCGTCGCAAAGTTTCATCACTTTCCGATCGCAGCGACACCTCTGAACAAGGCATGGTGAGCGGTGAGGAGTCACCGGGCATACTCAGTGATGATCAACAACCTGAATCTCCAACTGACTCGAATGAAACCGACGATACGGCGAAAAATATGCCATGGCTTAAAGCAGTTATCGATCTGATCACCAGCTACAACTATTATTGTTCACATAAGGGTTACTGCCATCCCTATTGCTATAAGCGTCACATGCGCGCCTGCACACGGCTGATAAAGGCAACACGCAAGGTAAGGCAGTCGAAGATGGATTTGTAAATAATAACAAACTCTATTTTCTAACTCATCAAAGATCTATGGCGAAGAATTTGGCTTCACTTTCGACTATGAGAACCCGACGGTAGAGCCAACCGTGCCGGTAAGCGCAGGCACTTCGAAAACACACCCAGCCCGACCACGTTCAACGCGTAAAGTGTCCGAGCAGAGTTCAACGCACACATCACCCTCGAAGCGTAAGGATAGTATCTCGCGTCGCGATCGGTAAGTAACTGGAAATATTCAAGGGAAAGGCTTACTCTAATATCTTCGCTTGTAGCATAAGTGATGACCCAGATATAGAGATCGCAAGCAAGTTAGCTGATACCTTTCATCAGGAGAAGGAAAAGAAGGAGCAAGAAGAACCGGCCATACTGAAATATCAACGTTTCTACATACGCACTTTATTCCATTATCCATTCGCAACGATGCTTAAGGGTGCTGTAATACTCACCGAAGAAATGGTTATCGAAGCTATGCCAGCCGCCTGGGAACTTTTACTCGATACAAATCAAGATACTGCTTCGGCTAGTGCGGCTGTCTTTCTTATGGGCTCCGTGAAGGCGCAAAATTTCGCCTTCGATATTATGCAGCGCGCTTTAAAGAGCAAGGACCCGGATGTGCGTATCGGCGCGGTGCAGAGGTAAGCATTGCAAATGCCAATACGCGACATCTATTGCAGCCTCTTAAACTCAATAAAATTTGATCACGCAGAGCGCTGAAGATGGACGGTCCACCTCCCTGTGAACAAAATTTCAAGCTGAGAGAATCGCATTGGAGTCTTTAAATTTAATTCTAATAAACTCGTTTCTATCATCTATAGGTATCTGGTGCTATGGAAGAGCCGCTTTCACGTTTGGCCACGTATGGAGGAGAACGCACACGATCTCACATTCAAGGTGCCACCGGGCGGCATCGAGTTTACGCTTCCCTCACCGAAAATAGGCATTGAAAGCCTACCAGTCGTCGATCCGCCTTGGATGCCGGTGCAGCAAAGTAAAGATATGGACGTGACACTCAATCAGGACAGACATGTAGGTTTGAAAAATCTTTTATTTTTTGATTTATTAAAAATTTAATCTCGCTTAAATTTAGCGCTCACTCGTCACGGCTACGAAAAGTCGTAAAATGCAACAGACAGAGGCAATACGTAATGCTTTGAGACAACAACGTGACAAGCAACGCGCCGAGCGCCACAGCTTCCTCATCACCACAATACCAATCAGTCAGCAGGCATCTCATGAGCCGGGCATGGAGCACGAAGATCATGAGGGTGAAGAGGATTTGGATGGTACACGCATACATTTACATCATGCCCACTCGCTGTTTCCATCGGTACTCTGCTCCTCGGTTATGCAAATTGTCGGCTGCTTAGACGACGCAGCGATTGGCAGTGATGGCAACGCGGTCTATGAAATTGCCTATCAGGTTTGATTGAATAAATGGAATGTGCCTGTAGGGAGTCAAGACTTAACTGTTTCTTTTTTCGCCATTTTTTTCTATCAAAAGGCCATTTGGGTTTGCTTGGTCGAGGAGTCGGCACTATTTTTGCGCTACGTCTTCGAACGTTTGACACGTGACCGACAGGATCAAATGTTTAAATTGTTACGTCATTTGATACGCTTTGTGCCGCGCTTGCCACAACAGGCGGCCTTTGCGCTGTACAATTCGATCATTGGCTATATAATGTTCTATGTGCGCTCCTCCAATGAGCACAAGCAAGAGGTTGGTATTTTTTTTAGTATGAGCCTAAGCAGCTTTCTTAATAATCTTAAGTGTCTCCACAGCTCGTCGGCTCGGCACTCTCTGTGCTTTGGATGGTGGTTCACAGCGTTCATGGCATTATGTTTAAAGATCTCAAACAGATTTTACGTAAAGAACAATGTGATGCCTCAATCTTACTCACTGCAAATGTGCCGGCCGCCAAGAAAATTATCGTGCATGGCGGCTTTGAGGAGGGCGGTATTCCTTCGCAATTTCCCGTGCAAGAAGATACATTATTCTGTCAATTGTTGAAGGAAGCTTTGGATTATTACCGCATTGATGAGAAGAACGCACATCAGTACTTCCTGGTGGATCACAAAAGTGGTAAGTTTAGCTCAAAGACTTTGTGATATCTATGATTGAGGCAAACGAATTTAGGGTCAGAAATATGGTTAGGTTATTGCTCACAGGGAGTTTATGAGCCAGGAAAGACTTCCCGACCGCTGCAGCGTATTCCAGGCGGAGCTAACCGCTATAACGGATCCCACTTCATGGATTGCTCGTTTCTTATACGTTAACCCAACCTGTTGCAATATGTTCCGACAGCCAGGCTGCCATTAAGTTTCCCCAATGTAATCATACCCTCTCAAAGGTAACAATCAAGTACAAAGAGATCTTAAATAAACTCTCGGCTGTAAGCGAAACGTCGAAACTGGAATTGTGTAGCCGACGGATTGACCTGAGGGTAAACAGTCTTAGAGACGTTGAAATGTGCACATGACGTGGGCATTCCGCAAAGTATCTGCTAAGGCTAGCCTTCACCAGAAGGGCCAACAGCATGCAATGTGTCAGGAAAAACCTACCCATTAATTGAGGATTATAAGCATTCACCGGTGTGAAAACTGGGCACTGTCTTATGGGGAATCATTTGAGAAGGATGGGGTGATTCTTCCTCTGAGGAGGGATCAGTAGAACACTACCTCTGTCACTGCCCAGCTCCCAGTGCGGTCAGTTATCGCTTTGTCTGGAATTTCTTCTCCGATTAGCTTGATGAGCTTACATCTATAGGCGTCGTAATATTCTTAAATTCACAAAACACACCAAGTGGTATGAGCATTTGGAAAGGTGAAAAGAATTTCTTTATCAGTACGAATATCTGTATCACAATGGGCTAAAGACCTAAGTGCGCTTGCTCAAGGTTCTGTCATCGATCGCCCTACGGCGCTACAATTGTGTTGAAATTCCGCTATGAGGACCGGTATAGGTAACTTCCTGATGTCGCTTGTGCTGAGACAGATCATAACTAAGGTTTTCTAGGAGACTTACTTCATCGCAAATAAAACTAGCCCCCTCTCAACCTGAACTTCCCGTTATTTTACCACGACAACTAACTTTGCTTTATCCAAAGTAGGGTAACACATCTGTTACAACAACAACATGGAACTTATGGCAGTTCCCCTAGCAAGTAATGATAATCTTTTAATCAGTGGTAGTCATAACCTCTATGCTCGGGCCGAGGCTAGACTAAATAGAATCCCAAGGTCTACCTGTAATTTCACACATCGAAAAGTTTATAAGATCCACTTCGGATTTCTCGATCGGCATAACGTTCGGCCAGACGGACGCTCTGGAATTATGTCAGCGGAGCGAGAACCGAAAAGGTTTGTATGAGCTTAAAAAGCATCGCGCCAGCAAAGTTTACAACACCAATTGGGGGATTGTGTACTTTGATAACCACACGAGCTAATAGTTGGCGCTTTGTAACTGGTGAAGTGATTTTCCGCCGGACTCCTTTTCCAATTTGTAGTTCTGCTTCTTGATATTTTTTCAACAAATGGAGGGACCCACAGTTTATACTAAGCCGCCTCTGAGCGGCTAATAGTTTTTTGCGAGGAGCCTTTATTTCATGTCAGAAAAACCACTCGGCTACCGCAGCCGTCACTATCGTTAGGTAAATAGAAGAGTTTAGCTCGATGTGACACTCTTGAACGGTCAAGCGAGTTTTTTAAGGAAGTTTAAGGAAACAATTTTCTCAAGTTCAGCACAGTACTTTTTATCTAAACTAACTTTACCAAATATTCTAGACAAAATTCTCAATCCCAACTGGCACATACGCGACTTGTACTTCTTCAAACGTTCACAATATCCACAAGTACGTTTGAAGCGCATGAAACCCGAAGACTCCTATGTGGCATTACAAAAGCAAGAGCTCACTAAGAAATTCGTAGAAATCGGCAAGGTACATCTAACATGGGCCATTCTAAAGAATGTCGATATGGTGGTGCAACGTGTGGTCTTTCTACACGAGGAACTCATGAAACTGCAGTCCTTCCCACGTAAAGCACTCGAAGTCGATTTGGATCTGCATCAAGGTGGTGAATATGGCGAAGTAAGTTTGGGGTATGTTAAGTAGTGCAAGCTTATTTGTAATTTTCCTCTCTCTCTTTCTTTTTTTGTTTTTGCTCAGGTGCTACTTGGCCTGGATGTCCTACACAAATTCATGTGGGTACGTTTGATTGCGCGCATGTTCGAGGCCATGGCCGGTAATTTTGCCTACTCCGCCGACATACAATTATTTCTGAACGTGCTCTCGGGCGCTGCGATATTACACGCTGAAGATTCTTGCATTATGCGTTATGTCATGGCTACCTATATTAATGCTGCTTTTAACTTTAAGAATATATTTTCCACAAATGGTTATTTCATGATTATGCCGACTCTGTTGCAAGTTTATTCGTTGCATCAGACAAATAAATTGATTACGACCACCATTGAGTACGCGGTGAAGCAGTTCTATTTGCTCAATCGAAAACCGTTCATTTTGCAAATGTTCGGTTCGGTGTCGGCCATACTAGATACGGACGAGGATGGTACCTACGGCGAGGCGCATAAGGTAAGACTGAAATGAGAGAAGAGAATACTCTGGGCGCTGGAATATTCTCATCCACCTAGACCGCATAACCTAGCCTGAGTAGCCGCTATCTCTTCAACCTTCAATGTCAAAACCTCTCTCTCGAAACCTCTTAAACCTGGCTCATCAGATTTTATCATCGTCCAAGCCTCCACAGAACGAGACCAAGAGCGTCTTAAAGAGTTTGATTTACGCTTGTCGAGTGACGACTTTACTTTTCATTTGCCTACTCAGTCAAAAATAGCATTTGGTGACATTGTTGTTGGTGTTATTGTTAGTTCTGAGATAGTTGGAGTTAACTACGATACGATTTTGAAATGATGAGCGGTTACTGTTGGACTCTAATACGTGAAACAGATCCTAAGAAATACAAAAGACTCAGTACCACATCTGCATGCAATGGGACGCCGCACGACACCAGCCACCTCTTTGGAATTAAGGGGCCGAAGAGACCCCCTGGAGGGGGCAATCAAAGATGTGGATAGTGTCGTGCTATTCATTTAACCCAGACCACCATTGCCTATGGCCCGAACCCATTGAAACAGCTCGTTTCCCGAATCTCCTGCAGGATGATCTCGATGAATTAAATTGATCTTGTCTGCTCCTAATTGGGATTGTATAGTCGCTAAAACAACACCAACAACTCAGTTTTTACCTCCCTTCTTTACTGATTTGTTACTTTTAATTTGATGTAATAGCCGTGCAATTAGTGCGTACTACCATTTGGATGGTCAGAATTCGAGTCCTCATCCAGACATCCTTTAAAGATTATGGAAACTTATTCTTCCAACTGCGGTCGCCCCTCGACAGTTTATTTCTGATATGAAATAAGAAGCTCCTCACAAAAATCCATCAGCCATTCGGAGGCAGCTGAGAATAAACGGAATGAAGATTAGCATTTGGCATCATAAATAGTAATAAATGACAACTTTTAGTTGCCGTTGCCGTGTATATATTCCCTTCATCTTCATCACATTTGTCTGTTTCTCTTACTCACCATCTATTCTTCTTCTCCGCAGGTGCAATCGAGTTGCCTCTTTAACTTACTGTTGAGCTTGGAAGATCCTTCACCGGATCCGCTAAATATTGCCGAGCTGGTTAAGGAGCCTAAGCCGCTGAAAGCTATCGATTTCTGTTATCATGATGAGGATGGTGATGTCACAGTATTGGATTGCATCACATTGTGTGTCATGGTAGTGTCCTACTCGGCAGAAAGCACACGGGGCTACCAAATGCTGGTTTGTGTGCACATTTGCCAGTATCGTCAATCTACTTAACTAACAATCAGATTTATTATAGATCATTTTAGAGGCTATATTACCCTGTTATTTACAACAAATACAATCGCCCAGTTATATACCACTGCAGGGCAAGTCCGAGCGTGATATCATCTTACAGCTAGCCGTCGCCATACGTACAATGGTGCACAATTGTGAGGGCTTAGCTAAGAGCTACAATGGACCCTATCGTAATAGCCCGGAGCATAAGGGCTCCTCGCAACGCAATTGTAGTCGTGGACCACCCTGTTCGCCCGGCTTGGACTTTGAGGAGGAGTCTCACTCGAAATATATAAATGATCCACGCACAAAGAATATTGTTGATTCGGGTGAAGACTCTGAAATGATACGTACCGATTATCGGCGTCCACGTGACGTACTACTTTCTGTCGTGGGCGATTTCCTAAGTAAATCCCGCACACGTTTAGTGGAATTATCGAAGAAGCTACCGAATGATAACAAAACCACCGAAGTGTTAGATGCGAAATGTCATATGCGTTTGGCAGAGATCGCGCATTCGTTGTTGAAAGTCTCACCGTATGATCCCGAGTCGATGGCTTGCCGTGGTCTTCAGCGGTATATGCAAGCCATACTGCCGCGCGCCGAATGGTCAAATGATACGCTGCGTAACTCATTAATCACCATACTGCGTCGCGTGGACAAAGTATTTCTGAAAATATCCAAGAAGCCTTCGATACGCCGCAATACCGATTGGGAGGCGGCCGCTGGTTTGCTTAAAGGTATACATGAGACCATCGTGCGTCATCCGTATGTGCTGCATTGGCAACAAATGAAGACGCTCATTAGTACTGTGCAAAATCTGATTGTCAACGAAGGCACTAACGCTGGTGAAGGTGTCTCAAGTGCAGGTGCTGCTCTTATGTCTCAGAATCCTCCAGCCTTCTTTTGTTCGACGGTAGTGCGGCTGGTAGCACTACAAGTGGTCAGTCCCGTGGATTGTTTCTCATTGGCGCAGATATGTGGTGGCAGCGAATTCGCTACGCAAGAGAAGGCCGAAGGTTTTCTAATGCATTTGATTATGCCCCTGTGCTTGAAGGTATGCTCGGGTCGTGGTGTTTCCGATATTGGCGAGCTGAAGATGACCGATGTCTCGTTTCTACTAACAGTCGTACTAAATGCTATGAGTCCGCCAGCGGGTCGTACAGGACAAGCTGTCATACAGACGAACCGTGTAGGTGGAGACCTACGCGCTGGCTCATTAACATTTACCGGCAGTCGTGATGCCAAGAGACCAGCACGTATCTCGGGTTCACTATATCAAGCTGCCTTCCTGGCTCTACGCATTGTATGCATTTGTTTCGAGAATCGCTTATCAAATGAATGGCCGCGCATAGTGCGTGTAATGCGGGATCTTGGACGGCGTAATGAGGCGGCGCCAGATTTATGGAGTTTTCTTGAATTCGTAGTCACACACAGGACGCCGCTGTACATCGCATTAATGTCCTTCATTCTGCATAAAGTAGGTAACTTTGTCTTTTTCAGTTTGAATTAATTTTTATGAGCCGACAGCGTCGTAGCAATAATATTGTTGTAATTGCACATATTTTAATTTTTTTTTTTTGCAGATTTCCCAACCACCGATTGGCGATCACGAGCGGCATATGCAATTCATTATACGTGAACGTTTGCGGGGCACACCACCTCAAGGTGGCATCAAATCAAAGGGTGCTCTGTTGCTGGAACTCGCCAGAGAATTGAAGGATCTGAGAGATGAGCTCGAGGAAAAACGTTACGGTGAGTTAGTTATACTTCTCCATTCTCGAAATATTCGTAAGAGCGTCCCTATTTAGACCGCGACTCTTCGGATCAAAAGAAAACCGATACACCCGCCGCCGCAAGCGGCGCGGAGACACACAAAGGTCAGCAACGTCCTTCACTCATTTCAATATTCACCGGCACCACCACCGGCCAGGCTTCACATTCGCACGTTTCTGTGGTGCCAATCGATTCACGCACTGGTTCCGGTGGTATTTGCACACCCAGCGACACGCTCTCCCAACAAACACTGCAACCACCCAGAGAGTCTTTATCGAGCAGCTCAACAGGCACGCGCGAGCAACACACCAGCGAAAGTCAAAGTGGTGAGAATGCGCCAGCTTTTGATGCTGATGGGGGTACTATAGCCACCGTCTCAAGTCACGGCACGGCGGCCACAGTGATTGCGGCGCTACCACCATCAATGGTATCACATCTCTCGCACTCCCAGTCATTGCAGCAGGCACCTTTCAAGGCTCAACCACCTAAGTTACGGTTTGTTTCGTCGGTAGAGTTTCGACACTCATCTGGCGAAACTTCCACCACACCGCTTTCACCAGAGTCTCCGGCCGAAGATAGCTCCAGCGACCATACCCGATCGCGTTTACAGCGCTCAAAGGCATCCAGTCGCAAAACATTCCGGTTAAGGCGTAGTCGTCTGACGCCTATTGAGCCACCGAGTGTGGTGAGTATTATAGACTAAGAATATTAGAACATAATCTTTAACTCTCTCTCATCTTAGGCTCCGCCAGTTGCGCAAGAGGAACATCCAAAAACGATTGGCGAAATATCCTGGGATTCGGTATCGCAAACATCATCCACATCCGGTTATCGCGAAAGCAATAGCTTGCAAACAGGTTTGCTTTCGCCAGACGGTTCGCTTGGCGGCACGACTCCGAGACGCTCACCATCACAGCATTCGTTGCTAATGGTTTTTGAGGGTCACGATGAAGATACGCTTATTTAACAATCACAGTTCAGCCCGACGCGGATTGAGGATTGATGTGATTGGTGCAAATGTCATTGTCGGAAATAAAGTAAAGAGTAAGAGTAGAATTGAACAGTATCTTCGTCGGATGCGAGTTTATACTTCAATACTATATTAATTTGTTAACTTAACTATTACAAACAATATTTCGATAAAATACATAATTTTGTCTGATTGTATTTGATAAACATGCTATTTTGCATTTTAGTGTTGATAAATATACATTAATGTATGTATGTAGAACTATTACGATTTCAATGTGCCAACTGAATAAAACTGAGAATGTTTTAAAAATAATAAAGTGATTATTTTAATGCTTATTAATAGCTTTTTACATAAATATTATGTACTCGCGCTCGATTTGCTTGCGGCAGCTTTAGCGCGATTCTCTTTAACGATTTTCCGCCATTCCAACCACTTAGCCACATCGGGATTATCGCTGTTACCACGCTCTTCCAACTGCAGGTAATAGGCTTCCCGTAAAATCTTGAAGACCTGCATGCTGTAATACGGTTGCTGGGTTACCGGATCAAAGTAGCGCGCGGGTAATCTAAATAGCAAGCAGGTTTGATTGTAAATTAGGAAAATATGATTTTCATTAGATATACTCACTTTGTTATCGGGCATAGGTAGCCAGAATTAGCATTCAAACGTTTCGGCTTAAAAACAGATTGGAAAACTTTGTCATTGAGGTCATTTTCGAGTGTTATGAACGTACGTTCACATTTCGAGGAGGCGTCTGTGGTTTCTGACGCTCCTCTGGTTGCTTTACGCATCACTGGCATAGTCATTGAATGATACCGAATCATAGGCCCCGTGTACACGCGTTTAGTAGGACGTGTTTTTTTCTTTTCCAATTCCATTTTTTGAAATTTTTCTGTAAACAAAAATTAACTGTTTGTATTGTATTAGAGTATAGAATAGTACTAAGCCAATACCCAATGACTTTATATTCTCCTCTTCGGTTATTTTTGCTTCTTCTAACAGTTCCTCCTGAGTTGGCATGTATTCCTCTACCCTTTTAACGCGTTTCTTCTTCTTACGCGCATCATCCATTTCCTTTAAACGTATTTTAGTTGCCTGTGTTTTTATGGCAGTTGATGCTCTTATGGACTTCCGACCCGAATCGATTACAGTAAACTTAGGTCGCGGTCTTTTCACTATTTTCGTCGTCTTTCTTTTTGGTATGCCGGCTGCATCCTTTTTTACCACTGGTTTAGGTTCCTAATAATACGGAAAAAAAAATAAAAAATTCCCGCAAGAATTGTCGATTTTATATACACACTTTATAAGCTTTTGTATTCACGCCACCGCGTTTCTTTTTTTTCTCCGGCTCATTGTCTGCATCTGAAATTGGCTCGTCATTTTCGTCAATACTAAAATCGGAATCCACAACGTCTTCCTCCTCTTCTTTTTGACTGTAACATATTTTTATTAGAATAATTACATATTTCCATTTCAAAATAATTTTATTTCTAAAACTCACACATATTCATTATCTTCCTCCTCTTCCTGAAAGCCACCATAGGATGTTTTGTAGAATTCATCTTCCTCCTCTTCATTCAAAAGTTTTGCTATTTTATTACCCGCATTTGCACGACGTGATCGCGATGCAGCCATAATTATCAGATTATTTAACTTTCTAAATTTGTTCAATATTTAATTATGTCTAAAACAATCAAAGTTTGCTAATATTACCAAGACCTATTTGTTTACCAACAGCTGTTTTATTCTCATCGTTACTGAATAATAAACAAGAGTTATCGATTAATTATCGAAAGCAAGAGCTTTCAAGTCAGTAAATGAAATCGGAGACCAGCGACTGTGGAGAAAAAGTCAGTGATATATTTAGGAGTTGCAATAAAAGCAACTTATCTTACGAATATACAATATTGAAAAATTTTCCACATAGAAAAACTGTCAATCAAATATGTTACAATTATCTATCAAAATGCTAGTTAAAAGGCAAGCGCTGATTGCCTGCCGAGACGAAGGGTTATGATTGTCAGATTTTGTTTACATTTGCTGCCAGCTGTTAATAGCACATTGCTTGTCAAAATATGTTTGTTAAACTTCTACGGGTGCCGTTCTTGTTACAAACTAATTATTAAAATATTCAATAATATTAATAGTAAGAAGCAAGTCCTCAATTATCGGAGTTACGTGTAGTAGGAACAAGGAAAACTGTCAGGGAGAGCAAGCCAACTTAGTCAAAGTTTCTCTGAATTCCAAGATTCCTAATTCTTATTAAAAGAAAATATGTCGAGTGGGGCGTGTAAGGTAGGTAAAAATATGCTCCTGGCAACTAGCTGCACTTCGTAACACTATGTAAACATTATCTTTCGCATAGGCCACTGCACGATTGCTAAAATGCTTTTGCGGCTGTTCAGAAATGACGGAGGAGGAGGTGCGTCGTATTTACCGTTTAAGTGCTCAAGATACACTGAATGACTCAAACGCGGCACAGCTATTTCGACGATTCTTAGAAAAGGAACGTTGTGATGATGAAGAAGGCGAAATCGAAAATAAGTTAAATATCTACGAATTATGTCATAAATATTTACAACAGGATTCTTTAACATACGATCAGTTAAATGATCTCATTGACCTGGGCTTGAAATATCCCTTGGAGAAAAGAATAAATTTCTACATAACAATTTTGGAAGAAAACGAAAGACCAAATATTCTAGGTCATGAAATTGAACGTGATTTAAAATGTATACAGCATGATTATCGGAGCGAAATAGAGGCTTGCTCGGAGTACAGGAAATACAAGCAAGCGATTTTAGACAAGTTAAAGCACTCGAAATGAGATTCGCAGAAGAGGCAGAAAGCGAGAACACAACGAAGACATTAGCATAATCTCAACTGCCTCAAATATGCTACATTTCTTATATATTTACATACATGTGTTTGTGTGTGTGTGTGTAAAATGTATTATTTTTTTGCCTCAAGATATGTTCCAAAGATACATCACAAAGCTTTGTATCCGCAAATCCGTCAAATTTAAGATTTGCTAAGTTTTTTTATACTGTTCGCATCCAATACTACTTAAGTATAATGAAAAATTATACTGTATCCTTCCTTTTACCAGTTAATTTATAAAATGAAATAATGTACTAAGTGCTTAATTATACACCTAGAGTTAGAAAAAATATACTCACTTTTTAGTACATACATAATACACCTCTTGTAAATTAATTTATTTGGAAACTAAATCATACATTTTGTTAAGTGTATTATAAGACATAAAGCCTATGCTCTACAAAGCATATTTTATACGCGCGTTTATAAGAAAATTTTCTTTAAATTACAAATAGTGATTTAATCTAATCAATAGCTTTCTATGATTTCTTCCATGAGTAGTACATTTCCATTGGTTTATTTACCTGAAATATAGAAGAGAATAAGTAATTTTGTTTAAGTTTAGTTTTTGAATTTAATAACTACTTTCGATACCTTCCAGAACTTGTCATTAACTTGATGTAGGGTCTGATTACCGTTTAATATGACCAGTTGCTGGGGTTGTGGTGCAATGTAGATACAAAAGTTGAGCATACGGTAAGCTTCGGGCAGGTCAGATCCCAAATCCAATGTTAGGCGCATTGCCAAGTATTGACTTAAATGGTCCACTATAATAATTTAGATTTAGAAAATAGGAAAAAAATATATCTAATTAGCACTATAAACTTTACCTGTTGCATTTGCGGTGGTCTTTATGTAACGTATGCAGTTTTCTTTTAAAGCCTTCATTAATTGATTATCCCCAGCCATTTCAGTCGGATGCGGCTTAAATACCAATTCTATTTCATCATTAATACCGAGCTCACCTGTACCTTCACCTTCGGTATCGATATTGGAGTCACCTTCAGTTCGACAATCCATTTGCGAATCAGATTCAGATTCTTCGGAACGTTCCGATGTCAATACTGACATAGCACGTTTCGGTTTCGAACTACTCGAATTCGATGGCACCGGAGATGGTGTGCTGCGCATAGATGGCGGATTTGAGCCACCATCATCATGCTGCATACGACTGGTACTGGCACTACTACCAGATGCTGATGCTGCGGCTGCCGAAGTACTGGAATGTGTTGGTGGTGCAGCAGCAGCCGGCTGTGGTGCATTATTATTAACACTTTCGCGATTATCACTATCATTGCCATTAGTGGCACTTTCATTATTCGAATTATTCGCATTATTTGCCGAATTGTGATTACCACCATTACGTCCCCCACACCCTTTGGCACGGAAACGCTGTGGACGATTTTGAGATTGTAATTTAATACCCTCATTTATGGAGTTAACGAGTGCTTGCTGTGATTGTGTTTGATTAAATTTAGCCATAACTTTTTCTTGTATGGCTTCATACTCTTCACGACTGGGGTATATTTTCGATATTAAAAGATCAAAATTTGGATCAGGCCGTAATGAACGTTTCGATACAAGTTTCTTGCGACAAGTGGGGCATTCTTTATTACCCGAACGTAGTGCAGTAATTATGCAATCGGAACAGAAACGATGTAAACACTCTTTTGTGGTCATTGTCTTCTTAAGCATATCCAAACAAATGGGACACATCAATTCACTATGCAGACTCCGTGGCGAAACCGCAATTTCGGTATTGTCGGTGATAATTTCCTGCGGATTACGTTGTAATTCGTATAAGGATAAGTCCCATGTTTTATTTTGTGCAGGTTCCAGAGACGTCATGTTTCTGTAGATAAATAGCCAACTTTAAGTACTTCTTTTGTATTGATGAGTGGAAATTTATCCAAAATTTTTCAGTTTTTCACAATGCACAACAAAGCACAAATAAATTGTTTTCGAAGATGTTTAAAGTAAGCTACCATATCTATTGTTATTTTTATTCATAAAAATGATTTCGAAGTCTAATTAACCACGAGTGGCAACATCACGGCTATAAGCAGAGCTGTTACAAACCAATTTTAGGTTACCAGAAAAAAATGTTTGGTTCAACGTTAAACTACGCTTTCATGTAAATCTTTGGGCTTCTGTTTCCACCGTGTATTTGCTGTATAGAATGTCATTAAACTGTCTTCCAAAACTAGCTTATGATATTAATTTTTCGCTAAAACAAACATACGATTTTTGACAGGTGTTTAATCGATTCCATTAAACCTAGTGGTATGGGATTTTTTACATATATATATTTTAGCTGTGTAACTTCAATCACATGCATTACTACAGTTTTACTGTTTCCATATCGATTGGCCTTCTAACCCAACAGCAGCAGCAATTGCCGCCAAATACCCAGAGTCAGCAGCTCACGCTATTGCTGCCTCTGCTGGCGCTGCTCCGTCGATAAAGTCGTGCGCATTCGTTGTCACTTCCATGCGAGATCAAAACTGATGGTTATCGCATGCACTTGGATTCAGTACACAATTTGTTGTTTACGTTTCCATATCGTAGTCGGACGCACAACAGAGTGTATGCTCGCGCGCAATTCAACATTTGCCGGTGGCCCATCATAACGTGTTGTGTTGTGTAGTGGGTGTGCGAGTGTGTGTGTGCATGTGTGGGCTTATGAACCCGCATGTAATTGAAACAAAATAAAATCAAATCAAATCGCATCTAGCGAAAAGTGCTAAAAATACGCAACCAACATTGTTTCATTTCATGTTTTGCAACGCACTTCCAGTGTGTAATTTTTGGCAACAAATAAAAATATTTAAATACAATAAAAAAAAAAACAAATTATACAAAATTAAGACATATGTACATGTACAATCATATGTATGTAGGTAGGATGTACAAAAGTGCGTAAATTACAACAAAAACGTTTAAGAAACTGAAAGTAAATTAAAAATACATATTAGAAAATACCGTTATTTTTTGTAATTGTATTAAATTTGTTTGTGTAAATTGCACGCCAGATTGCATTTGAATAGATTTTTTTTTTTTTTTTTATTTTATTTACCGTGCAACGGGTTTTAAACTTTTTGAACTAACGGATCACATTGGCAAATAAGCAGCATACACAAACATACATAGTAAATACATATGTAAATATTGTGTGAGTGTGGAAAAAGTGCCGACAGGTTTTGGATAAATTGTAAGTGAAAAAGTATTTAATAAGCGTTTTGGTAGATTAATTGTTGCAATATCGGTTAATAAATATTGTATTACTGGTTATTTTTAATGAAATGCATTTCGTTTTTATTAACGTTGTTAGCAAAATTATTTATACAATTTTATGATGTTTGATATTTAAGATGTGATTGTTACGGCTCAACCGGTAAATAATAAGGAAATTTTGCAGTAAAAAAAACAAACAACAAATATTTATTTTTTTAAATGTGCTAAAATAACATAAAAAAATAATAAATTAGTGTTTTTATTAAAATTAATTTTATAAATGCCGATTTCAATTTCAATTAAATTTATTTTAAAGCGAAAATTTAAAGCAATTTTAATAGAAAAAAATTGTATGACATCGGGATGTAAACTTATTTAGGTACCCTTTTTTTTACAAATGAAATTAAATTTGCTATTAAAATAATTGCATTTTAATATTGAAATATCTAGCTAATTATAATAACCGTAAGCAAAAATAGTGGAAATATCATCGCTATTATTTTAATATTTTTATTTATGTTGTTCACTCTTTTTTCTTTTGCTTACAATAATAACAATTAGTTACAACAATCAGCACTTATTTATTTATTTTTTTGTTGTTATCTATAAATTAACCATATGACAGAATTTGTAATTGGTTATTATGAAAAATACAATTATTTCCAAAGAAATAATTTTAATTTAGTATATACATGTGTACATACATACATATATTTAGAAATGTAAGTGCATCTTTACATATTAAAAGTCAATCAATTTCTTATGAATATTTATACATACAGCTGCAAGGTTGAATAGAACTTGGAAATTCATAGCGTAATACTCTTATTGCTTAAATAAATATATTTTCTTCTTCGGGACTAATTTAATTAAAGATTATTAATTTTTTTTAACAGAATACACATTTTTTTCATTTAAATACATATGTGTATACGAAAATTTTAATGTTTGTATGTATAAAAATAATTTTTCTTTTTTTGATAACAAAATATTTTAATTTATTGTATTTAGTACTGGCTTTGATTTATATATTCATAGAAAACATGAATAAATCACACTTTTTTGACAGCCACGTTGTTTTTGAATCAAGTGAACTTTATAGAAATTTATTAATTAATACATTCTATTTAATTTAAAATGACAAAATTGTAAATTATGTGCCCTAAATGATTTTGCAGAATTTTTAGTGATAAGATTTTGAAAAAAATAAATATATTTTTATTTGTTATTCACTTGTTTACATGAAAAATTATTGGTTTTAAAAAAGAAAAAAAATAGCTTAAAAAATTCTTCGAATAGAAAATTGTTTCTTCGTTATTCTGGCCCAAGGCACATCAGGCACCTCTGGTCGCAGTTTTTAATTTTTGCCTCAGCACAGTAATAAACTATGAATAAATATTGCACTTAAATCAGTTGTTTTACGGTAGGTTTTATTTATAATAAAACTTACATTGTTAAATATTTAAATATAAAATTTTCCTGCTCATCAATCTTTATGACATACTAAATTTAACAATTGCGTCATAAATAACGTTTAAGAATATAAAAGTGTGAAATGTAAATTAATTATGTTCTTAAATTTGTTCCCTTGTTCCTCTTCAAAAGAATTTGATTCTTTTGGCTAATTTTAAATGAAACTACGTCATTGTTAAATTTGGCGTTATAACGGTTATTTATTGCACATTTCTGTAAATTTATGAGGTGCAGTAAGGGAGGAGCATGATGCCATATGCCATATGCATATTTTACAGTATTGAAATTCTTATTATAAAAAATTTGAACGTTTCCGTAGCGATTGATGAAATTTGTAATGACTCGATTGCCTCGCAACAGTTCGCGTGGTACCGGTTATAATTTCTTGAATGTGAAGCTCAAGTTCGCTCCAAAGCGGTTAAATTTCTTATACAAAAACACGAAATTCATATACAATAATTAGAGGTGACGCTGAGACTTGAAGACGAAAGCTTTGTGGTTCCACAAGGATTTCTGTTTTTGATTACTGCACCCACTAAAGAGAAATATATGTACAGGTTTTTCCGATTAGAGGTGTTATTTTGATATTCAAAGAAAAATTAAATTTTTTGAGATAAATGATCGGATGTTTCTTTCGCTATGAAGAGGATTGGTAATGGGAAACAATATCAGCCGAATGGCCACCATGACTGCGCTCATCGGACCGTAACATTTTTATGAAATTTTCCAACACCAAATCGCCAAGTGGCTGTTGTATGCCCTCCATAGCTTCACGAATTTCGTCTTTGAGGTCTTGAAACGACTTTGACTTTTTGGGGTAGACCTTCTCTTGCACGTGGCCTCAAAGGAAGAAGCCGCAAGCTGTTAAATCAGAAGATCTAGATCGCCAATTGTGATCACCTCTTCGATAATCTTTTCCCTCAATATAGCGGCGGTTTAGTTGCTTGTGTGGCACGTAGCGCCATCTTGTTGAAAGTAAACGTTGACCAGATCAATACCATCCGATTCCGGCCATAGAAGATCATTAATCATCTCTCGATAGCGCAATCTATTCATCGTAACTGTTGCTCCAGCCTAATTTTTAAAAAAGTAATTTCCAATGACTCCGCCGTACCATAAACCACACCAAACAGTTGTACCTTGAAGATGGAGAGGCTTTTCCACAATAAATCTTGGCATTTTCGAGCCTCAGATGAGACAGTTTTTCTTATTGTCGTAGCCATCGAGGTTAAGTTAACTGAACCTAATAAGCCTAAAGGCCCAAGTCTTACTTTAAATTACGGTGTAATGGAATGTTCAATTCCAAACAACACTCGAGCAATGCACAAAGCTGGCTTTTTTTGAACACTTTGGGTCACGACGACCGAAAATTATTTTAGTTTTACGACCCGTCTACCAAAATAACTATTCAAAATAACACCTCTTATTGGAAAACCTTAAATATATATTTTTAAATATTTTCCGCAATACTCCCAATTGCAAATAGTTTTGAAACAGAGATCAATAATGAAAAGTAAACTTAACGAAATTTTTATTTTTTTTTTTCGTTTTCTTACCATTTTTTCAAAACGAAATGAAATTGTTAGTTTTTAAATCGCACATCCTCTTCGTTAACGTTAATTTTAAAATTAAATTAACAGAACACTTTAGTGTTAAAATTTAACATTAACTGTTAACGATTTAACATTAACTACAGCATTTCTCTTTGGGTAAAAACGAAATAACGATAACATTTCCAAATGTTTCAAGCGAATCGATAGAAATTTTTTGTTTAATGTTAAATTTATCGCCGATGCAGCCTTGATTGAAACAGTTCAATCCGCTCGGAAATACGATCAGAATTGATTTCGCGTTCATTGCAGCGATCTGCTTTTCATTTATGAAACTGTAGAGTTTTTGCTATTGGGAAAGTTAACAAAAAAGTTTCATAATAAAATGCAGTTTTTACTTTTGTTGTCGTTGAAACAAGAAGGGAGGCCTTAACCTCGTTAACCTGACCGCAAGCGGCGATATCAACCCATTTAACAGGATCATTGCGGAAAATTTCGAATAAATTCTTTAAGTTTCTTTCAACCATGATGATGACAGGCTAGAGGCGCCAGGCCGAGTTAGCTCGTCCGCCAGTCTATTGCCTTGTACATACGTGTAACTTCGGCCCCTACTGATTTTCACTGTGTTTTTCCGCGATGGTCTGTTAATTGCTTCTATGCATGATCTAATGCAATTGGACTTTGTGTTTCTCCACTTAAAGCGGTTACCCATTTGGCA